GAGAGTAGTGTTTTTAGGACCAACTTAATTTTGAGAAATCTAAGTTTATGTGAATTTAAAGATGGATTTAGGTGATGTAAGTGAAAGAGCTCTCAAAACAGTCAGTCTGACTGAGATATTATGGCAATATAGGTAAACCCTGAAGGGTGACACTTTAAAATAGGAGTTAAGGACAATTACTATGAGGCTTTTGAATAAAAGAGCTCTTGTGAATACGTAGAAAAATGCTCTGATCAGTTTTTGTCACAAGCCACCCTTCCCCAAAGCAATGGGTGCTTTTAAACCCATTCATAGGGTGTCAGTTTGGTAGGTCTCTTGGAAGCTGCAAAGACAACATTTCTGTGAATTCCTCATCCTCCATAATGGCTATTGCCATATGAATCATTACCTTATAATCTAACATCCAATTAATTTTATTTTTTGACAAGTTTTGTCCTGGTTGGACATTGTGATGTCCACCTATGAGGAGTTTAGAGTACAAAAACACACAACATCAGCCAACACAGGCATTTTCCCCTGTATCATCTGTTCCCTTGGGCTCAATTTAGTTTATGCTTTTTTCACATTTCTTTCAATGTCACACATTGGTATAAGCGGGCAACCAGCCTGAACATGCATATAAACCCAGATCCACAGCCTTCATCTATCTGACCTTCTCTGTTCAAATCTATGTCCAGTGTTCCCTCTGGGTGCACAGCTGACTGTGCTGGGTCACAATAATTATCTGTCCTTGACAACCTTCTCAATCCCCCTTAATAATAAATAATCCCCTCAATCACCCTAGATTACATGCACACATATAAAGAAAGGTTTCCCTTCTTCCACCTCATGGCTTACACCTGTTTGAGCCCTGTTTGTAATACCTTGAGCCTTCTGACTGTATGTATATCACACTGTCAGGCAAAAGTATTATGATGCCTTAAACTTTCCTTATTACCATATCACAAACATTAATATATTCAATATGTTTAGCCCTACAGCCCGAGTCTTGTAAGCTAAAAGTCATGGGTTTAATTCCAGCTGCATCTTGTGACATGCTGACATGCCCCAGGGCAGGGCAGTTTAGTTGTTCACTGATCTATGTAGGCGAATGTGATTTCAGAACAAAGAACTTTGAGCATTCAGTATGACCAGAAAAGTGCTAAATGATTTTATTCCATTAACCATTACTGTATCCATCTTAATATTATCTCTTCTCATGGGGTAAAAACAGCATCCTGACAACATGATGCTGCCACCACCATGTTGGACTAGGGTTCAAGGTAATGTGCGGTGTCAGTTTTTTGGCCACACAAAGTGTTCTGTATGTCTGACTCAATGTTTTTTGTGCTCATGTTGCTACTGCTATGCAAAAGTTTGGCCCTTTTTGCTTGGTGTTTAGAAAATATGTAAATATAACCACTAGGATTGTTTCCTTGATAACTGATGCATTGTCAGAAAAAAAAAACTAGCTGTATTGCCACAGACTCCAATATTTTCCCAGACTTTAGTGAGGCTTGCTCTGTCAGCCGCTGTCCACACTTAGCCGGGGCTAATTCATAAGCTGATGACAGCCCAGTGGTTGTCACTGTCACCTGAGAATTTTATGAGTCATGAGCACGGGAATGAACAGTTTGGAGATCAGAGGCGTGAGCTTTGCAGTGTCCTTGTATGTTCCTCGCTCTGAGGCAGCCGAGGATTAAAAGAGCAGCATGCCTGTTTAGGTGGAGGTTATGAGAATTTTGCAATGTCAAAAGGATATCATGCAGCCTATTAATAGCTGAAACATGGGAGTGAATGATGTATTGTACATGTAAGAATTTAAAGCCTTTTCTTCTCTTTAAACGGCTACATAAAGATTGTCTAAAATCACCTAGTTAGATACGAACAACAAATAAATAACTTTCATAGCACGAGTGCCAATTAATCGCACAGAACCAAAAAAAAAGCTGAGCAACATAAGGATGTTTTACAGTTTGAACTAAAAAAAACATAATCTGAAACTCTAATATTAGAACTGCTATATGGGAGCAAATGACCTTATGTTACCCCCAAAGTTATACTTTTTATTTCTTTTTCATAAACTAATGTGTGATTTCATTCTAAGCTAAATTGCTGCATAAGGGGTTACTGCATTGTAAGAGCTCATTTTGTTGTTGAACCACAGCATGTACAAATGATAAGAACAAAATAAGAACACTGCTGTTCAACAAGCCCAACTTGTTATACGTGCTATTTAAATGCCCTTGTAATGATTTCAGTAGACGTATTAACAATGCCTCTCACTCATAGACAGGCACCAACACCCTTGCAACCCTTAAGGGTTAAGCAGGTATTGGAAAGGTGGAAATTGATCTTCTAGAACAAAAAGAAAAAAATAATGTTTTTGAACTTGACATCATGTTTTCTTTCAACCATCTCTGTCTCTGTGTCATCAACGATGTTGGTATAAACCCCCATACCCTACTCTGTGAAAACAAGACCTAAATTAGCTTAGGGCTAAAATAGGACAAGGTGTAGTTTGAAAGGAAAAAAAAAAACGTGTAACGTGCATCCATCTTTGGTCGGCCGACTCTATGCACCTGCCAGACTTCATTTACAGGTGTCGACTGATTCTCTCATGTACCAGTCACAGGGACTGACCAAGTGACCTTAACCTTCCACACCCCTCAGCCACATACGCACCTACACACACACACACCAACACACACATACAATGCTACCCCCGGGGGCTGGTGGGGCTCGTTGAGTCTTGGACACAAAGACCAGCATTATTCCTCAACATCCCCTCCACCATACTGCAGACTGGGGAGAGAAGGACAGAGCTTTTAGAATATATCTTTAAATTTCTTCATTTTTAGCAAAACTATGTTAGCTTAAACCCTGTTTTGTATGCAGCATCACATTCTATGAAGCGACTGGTTTCCAGAGAGGGTTTGTAGGGTTGTAGTTTACATAGAAGTGTAATATAATGACATATCTTTTTCACTGTGTATTAACCAAGTAATACTTCACTTAATATCCCTTGGCAGAGTTTGGATTAAGCGGTCTGCCTGTGCTGAGGTGAAAGAGTTTAAAACAATGCATCAATCTCTGCTCTGTCTCACTGTCCTGGTCCTGAGTTAGTACAGGACAAACAGGGAAGTATTCCCATAAAGAAAAAAAGAAAACCCACACTGTGTTTGCATTGCTTTCCTCAGCAAGGTGACTGATGGAAGACCAGAAGCCACAGTGAGGAAAAGCACTGGAGTCGTGCATACTGTTCCCCCTAAACATCAACACTCTAGTTAGATAAATGAGGCCTCAGCCCTCCCTCCTTCCTCTTGTCTCAGAGGCTGCAGTTTACTAAAACCCTTTCAGTCCCTCCCTGCATGTTAGAGAAAATTCATTTCCAGGATGTCTTCACCTCTGTTGTCTTGCTCTGCATGCTCACTTCAATTATGTTGATTTTCATAATCTGAGAAACTTTGTTGTTCTTGTATAAGTGCATTTGCTCTCATGAGAGAGAAGGAGTTATGCTCAGATGTGCATCTGCTTTTATGGAACTATCTCCCTCTAGAGGTGGTACAAAAAACTGCTGCTGCTTATTTTTTCTACTTCAATTTAACATGCATTCTGCTCATTACACAAAAAAACTATCAAATTGGAATCAACAAAGTGATTTTATTACTTTATGAAAATTGCCATGAGGGTAAATCAAAATATGAATAATATTTACTGTGGATCACTGTAAAGAAAGAAGTCACTTTTTGAAAAAAAAAAAATAAAAAAAGGTATCCTACTTTATAGACATCTAATTAAAGTCTATGGGCATTTTAAAATTTGTATCCACCAAAACCAATTCAATTCTGAGAAAGCAGATTTGCAAAATATCCTTATTATGTCGTTATTTCAGAGGAAGGAATGCAAAATAAACTCTTTGGTTGAAGTAAAATATGGAGCAGACTTTGATTTATTACAGCTGGTTAGGTTGTTGGGTTAAAGTAAATATCCTTCATAACTTATGCCAAAGAAGAGAAAATCAAAAACATAAAATAACCTTGATCAGATAAGTACAGTTCTTAATCTTTAATACATCTGACACTAACAGCAATCGTTATAATAGCAACATTTATACCGTACTTAATATATTGCACTATTTAAAGAAACCTGTCTATTTAGATTTTATCAGCATCTGTTTGGCTAAGATCTGGATGCTGATCATAGCTTTTTCTCTGAATTTAAACCCCACCATGTATCATTCTATATGGATGCTGTGGAAAATAATTTCAAGTAGGTTCTCTAACCCTTATAAAGGGGTCATAAGTCATGTCTGAATACAACCAAACCAAAGTTCTGCTGTAAAATCCAGACATAGTTTATCAATGAATGGTCCCCAGACCTGGGTAATTCTTCTGTACAACAAAGACCAACAACACAACAGATGTAAAAATTGTTTAATTTATTTATTGTATTTATTTATTTTAACAACGTGCATAGATCATTCCTAATCATGACTAAGTATTTCCAAACACCATGCAGGTTAACAGTGAACCGGAAGCGAGGAATCACATACCAGCTTGACCATCACTGGGCAGGTGCTGAATGCAGCCATGGATTGTTGAAATTATTACAGAGGGGATGCAGACTCCTCGTTGACTGGATCCATTCTGGTAAAACTAAAAACTGTTTTTTCTTTGCAACTCCTTCTGTGCCATCTTTAACACCAAAACTGCTGACAGCATAAATTCTGCAATAGTTAGATGGAATAAACCTGCGTTTTCGTAGAAAAAAACAAAAAGTAAATAAACATATCAGCAATCAAAATAAGTATTTCCACATTGCGATTACGAAAGCGCACTTTGAGCGACCAGGAAAAAAATCTAAAAGGAGAAATTATGAATTTTAGAAGGCGCACTGCGCATCTGCATCCATCTATGTGTGTGTGTGTGAGTGTGTGTTTCTCCCCCTCTCTCTGACGCGGGGGGCATGCCCTCTAAATAAACTTTAGAGCTCATAGAGAGGGAGAGAGAAAGAGAGAGAGAAAGAGACAGCAGAAGGCTGAAGTCATCAAGGGAGTGAATGGGTCCTGCAGGCAAAGCAGAAAAGCGCTGAAAGTGCGGAGATTTACTTTGGTTTAGACACAGCGAGCAGTAGGAGGAGGTGTCGGTTTTACATCCAGAGCGGAACACTGCTGGGAAAGTCAGTTTAGTGACTCCTGATATTGACTCACTTTTTTTGTGTGTGTCTTACTTTATGCATGTCCGTTTCTGTGCGCGACTGTCTGCCTGCGGCTCATGCAGACCTGAATAAGCGCGCCTGGCGCAGAAAGGTATCCATACACAGAGACGCACGGCGCATCTCCACCAAATCAGAGGGAGTTCTCACAAATGGATTAAACTTTTCAGGCTTTTTCAGCAGTTTAAAGCCTTCCTATTACATTATTACACACACAGGCCTTCTGATGTTTAATACAGTTCTTCTTTTTGTGCGCAACAGATAAAATTGGAGTGTTTTTTTACGCGCGTTTGCTTTTGTAAAGGAAATGTTTCCCATCGCTGGAAGGATAACGAACTTCTAACTAGGACGGGTTTTCTCGGCACATATGTGGACCCTATCCAGGATGTTACAGTCTAAACGGCCCAGGCATCATTGGGCCACGGTACGCTACAACCACCACATAACACCACACAGCTGGGCTGCGTCCTGCTGCGTTTAGGAGTTTATCGCGCTCCAGCTTCAACCTCCTTTAGGCTGAGGAAAACGATCAAAAGCAAAAAGAAAGAAGATAAAACGCCAACGTGTTTTGGTGAACTTTAAAATTGGCGTTACGAGTCTCATCTCTGGGCTACTATGCAATTACAACTGATCTCATTTGTTCTGATCATCTGGAACTGCATGGATTACACTGGTTGTCAGCCGCACAGCAGCTCCAGGCACCGGCAGCACAAACGTGAGTAGATCGGTATGCTGTGTAGGGTTTTAACTGAAAGGTCTAAATAGGTTAGGGGGGAATTTAGTTAAAATTAAGCAGTTTTATTCCTTAATTTATTGCAATATCGGAAAAAGATTTTTTAAAAAGACTCACAATCACATGCAGCTAAATTCCGATAGTTATGTTTTTAATTCTTAGAAATCAATGCATTTCCTCAGCAATGGTCAGAATATCTAATATTTCTTCAAACAAATCCAACTGCATATTATTCAGTTCTCCAGCAGCCTTTTATTCAGATGCAAATGGTTTGTGTTAATAATGTACAACTAATAAGGTTTTTGTTTTGTTTTTTACAACAAATGAACAATGTTTTTTTCTTTCCACAAGAGATGGACGCTGATCTAGTAAACTGTACAAAAAAAAGCTGTGGAAATTGTTTGAGTTAAGCTCTTTTTTGCCAAATGTGCTTTTAAAATGTTGCTTTATTCTAAATTCGCTTGCTTTTCTACTTCCAATCCTTCAGTCGAATCAAATTGTCTACTTTTTTTTATACATACGTGTCTATGGATTCTATTTATTATTTTTTCCATTAAAATTGAACTAAACTGAGTTGACTAAATAGGTAAGGGGGCCACTTGTAGTCCAAAGCTGCCGCTGAGCGCCTCCTGCGTCGCTCTCTAGCGGTCAGCGCAGCAGATTTCAGGCGCACAGCTTCAATGGTCCACATGAGAGCTGAATATGTTCATGTTTGGTATTTAGATCCCTTATTTAAAGCTTTTATAAGCTTATATGGATGTTATTGTTCAGAACTGAGAAATGTTTCTCCATATGTTGGCTTCAGTCATGATCTTAATGTGTATTTTAAAAGTTTACACCAGGACTCAGGAGATGTTTGAGCTTTGCTGGTATTTCTTCTCCCTAGAGTCCAATATTGTGTCTCATTTCCTGAGCTATGACCAAGCTCCATAGTAGCCTACTCTGAAATAATTAATACAGCTTTTTTTTTTTCTTCTGCCCACGCACTATCTGAGGGTCCCCAGATGGGCTCTGATTTACTTAAGGAAGAGCTGGAATAGATAAATGAAAAGTTCCTTGAAACACTTGTCAGGGTTACAGGAAACGGTCTCTAATATGCAGTAATAGAGCTCTGGGGTGATGTTTTATCTATGCCACCTGGGGCTGAAAAGATGATTTGATATCAGAGCTTAGATTTGCGCTAAGAAGTGCTCTTTGTTTGAAATATTTCGGTAATGATTTTGAGTGCCAAAAGTGCAACAGCAAACATATCTCGCTTAAGATTTTATTTGGATTATAGGAGACTGAGCGATAAGGAAATTATATATTTCTTGTTAACCTGTGCTCTATTTGCATTCAGCTCCCCTAACCCAATAGGAGAACCACCTTTTATTGGTCACACAGCTTTTGGGGGCTTTTTTTCCAGCTTTTCCCATTTAAAGAGTTATTTCGTTCTTATTAATTAATTAATTTCTTAACAAAATTTCTTTTTGTTTACACTTGTGTATACAAAATGACAAAATCAATCTGTCTATGTCTAAATAAAATATCTCAAGATAAGTCAGACAGGATATATAACAACTGCAGACATCAGTTTTCAAATGTTGCAACACATTCTCATTTACATTCGGTTCTGGACTTTGACTGTGCCACTCGTATATTTGATGTAATCTTTTGTGTTGATTTGATTGCAATTCTCTGGGAGAAAAACAACTAGTTTTCTTCAACAATCCTGAATTTAGCTTTTTTCTTATCATCAACTCTAAAGTTCCCTATCCCAACAGAAAAAGATTTTCTCCAGAGCATGATGCTGCCTCCACCAAATTTCGGCATCAGAATTATAGGTTCAGGGTATTCTGCAGTGCACCTTCATCCATATGTTTGCTTACCCCTTACATGACTTACACCAAACTGGGCTTTTAACTTAGTTCACTCTTACTACTTTCTATTATTGAATGATGGATTTACCAGCATAATGCGACTTGATCAAAAGACAAATTAAAAACGCATTTACAACCTTACAAAAAAGTTAACTTCTCTTCAAATAAACCAAACATTGGTGTGTTGTTTGCTGTGAACATTGGTGCCATTCTGTGAAGCTCTATCAGGTAAAATTCCTTATAAATAGAGTAAAGTTTGAAACTTAGCAACCAAGGAAAACTTCCAGGGATACAGATAGTATTGGTTGTAAATATGAGGCATTAAGATGATAAATGTCTTTGTAATCTTAAAGGTTTAAGGACAAAGATTCTTTCTGTTAATTTCCTTTAATCAGTACTAACAGCGTCTCCGAACAGGATTGGCAGGATGCAAACAGGAAGGTCACTTAGACAAAACCTTGGTTTATGATATTTTTCCTCAAGGACAGACTATGCTGGCTAAACTGTGTGCAGAACACAGGTCATAAGTCACCCATCCGTTAACTACTATCTAACAGGAATAAAGGCTCAAGAGATGATTAAAACATCCATGTGAAACTGATATGAAGGCAGAATGACATTACCTTCGTTCTTACCTAGAATCAGGAGCAAACATTTAACCTTTGCACTGACTAATAAACAGTTAATTTAAGAGCCCCCCAAACTTCCTCCAGGGATGCAGATATCTGCCACTCGGAGAGATATCAGGGAGGATGGAGGGATTAGCTCTGGAAAGAGGACAGACCACAGGAGGGACAAAAGGGGGGATAAGATTAACAGGAGAGTCAATGACCACTTGGTTAACAGGCCAGGATTACCAGGCAGCGAACGGAGATCAAGCAACAAACTTCCTGTGTGTGATGATGATGATGAAAATGATGATGATGATGATGCCTATTAAAAACAACAACAACAACAACAAATCTCTGATCCAGTGAATATGTGTCATTGGTAATATTTCCTCTATCAAATGACACATTGACTCATGGGGGAAAGACTGTGTGCGTTTGTCACACATTTGGAAGCACTGAAATTTTATCTGAACCTTTGAAACGCTAAATAAATTAAGAAATATACATTAACCTAAAAAAAAATAATAAAATCTACTGACTTTTTTTAAAACAAAAAAAAAGGTTATTTTCTGGACAGGATAAATGTTGTGGAGGGAAAGGATACGGAAGTCATTTATATTGATTCAAAATGGCAAAAAATTTACCAAGACATTCCCCAACCTTGTTAATTAAAATACTGAACATTTTAAAGATTTGTCACATTTCAAACCCATCTCTGACTTCTTAAATAAAAGCAAACACTCTTATATATCTAAATAAGGGGTAATCTGAGGTTTAAGATTAAGACAAACAATGAATTAAGCTGTTTACATAGTTTTAATTCAGTCAGTATTTTAGGAAATACTCTTCAAAGGATAAGGATCCATTTAAAAAGACTCCCAGTACAGGTTTGGGCACATCCATGCAACTTCACTCTCAAAGATGCTAAAATTCTCCAATCCATAAAATCTCATCACTGACCTGCAACAGGCTTTCTTCTATTGATGTGAAAGTTAATGCCTCTGCTATGAGAAGGAGAGTTCACATCAATGGGGTATGTGCCAGGAGGAAACCTTAGCTCTCTGAAAAAACACAAAGGTCAGACTAGAGCTGGGGAATGTGGACAAAGACCGGGACTTCTGAGCTACTGTTTTATGGACAGAGGAGGCTAAAATGAAATAATCTGGATGCCAGAGCAGACACAAACAGCGTGTTTTACAGGTATAGCTGCTGCAGAATATGGCCAGTTTGCCATCACATATTCTGTCGCATCAGAGTATGTTTTAAAAACATAAGACCTTTTCTTAAAGAAATGACCATGGTAGACAACAATGAACCAAATCAGGAAATTGGAGTTCCAGATAATGTTCTCAGGTAGACTCTTTGGGTTGAACTGAAATATGCTACAAATGAAGGAATCATCCCAAACATCTCATTGCTGAAATTGAGGAGTGGAACAAACTTAGATTGCCACAACAGAAGTACCTTATTGAAGTTATTTAGGGGATAATGGATAGTTTAAGATAGGTAAAACACATTGTTGTTTTTACATTTTGTTTAACATCTAATAAGGTTCATTCTAACCTGACAACAGCCAGATGCATGTCTCGCTCCGCCCAGCGGAGCTAGGCGGAGCGAGACATGCATCTGGCTGTTGTCAGGTTAGGTTCATTCTATTATTTAAACTTCGCTTTTTCTAGAGACGGTATTGTATTAAGAATCAATACACGAACAAACCTTAATGTGGTAGTTTTCAATTGTTCACATAACTGTAAAACTCAAACCCATGTCATATTTTTTCATACAAGAAAAAAAAGGGAATTTCACATACATGCATCTTGCTTGTCGAGCTATAACGCTCTCTAACTGAGGTTTAGCTGGTACTAGTAATGGGTCTAGGCTGAATTAATGGGTCTAAGCAGCCTAAAGAAACACATGTGGGCAAGTGGACAACACTTAAATGGAGTCAACATATTAAGGTGTCTTTGATCTGTAATGAACTGGCAGCTAAACCAGCTACGTCCAGGACTGAGAAATCCCCAAAGAGTATCAGACTTTTCTAAGTGATGCTCAGAAAAAAGCAAAGTGAATATCTTTAGTTTTGGTTTGAGGCTACATTTAAGGGAGTTATGTGAAGGTTAATTGCTTTGTTTTTGCTTTTTTGCTATACATGTCATGTCCAAGTAGTCAAAGTGATTTTAATTTTAAAGACAGCCTGAGTGATGACAAATAATGTATTCATTAATCAACAAGCAAAGCTTCACAAACCAACCCACTGGAAGCACACTTATTGAATAAAAGTGATGAATGAGAAACCAAATCAATGATATCTACCAATCTAAGATGGAACTTTTATAATATTAAGCTGGACTAGCAATACATGAGGTCTTGAGATACGCTAGAACAGCATCTTTGGCACTGCACACCTCATATATTTTAGTTAATGTCTGTCTAGATTATTCACCAATAGGAGACTAGTTTTGTTAAACAAAAAGAGATCAAAGGTTTAAACAACTGCTGATCCAAGTGATACAAAAGCCCCTCCTTACATTTGCATATAACATCTTGATGATCCCCAAGAACTTTGGGAAAATATGTGGACTGATGAGACAAAGATGGAACCTTTTGTTCTCTTATTTTAGACTGATGTGAAACTAAAAGAGAAATTCTTTAAAAGGAAGTGAAACCTATAGTCAGACATAGTCCTTATAATGGAATGACATAAGGCTAAATTTAGCTCTGTAGCAGCAAGTCCTAAAAGAGGATTCTCTATCTGAACACCAGTTCTTGACCTTTAGCTCAACTTTCTCTGGTTTTATATCACAAAAATCTATATCACACTGCAAAAAAAAAACATGTTTTTGGCTTGGCCTAGTGAATGTTTGTATTTAAATCTAACCAAAATATATTAGCAAGGTTTTAAATAGTTAACTGTGCCAAAAAATGTGTCTGAAAGAGAATATTGTGTCATCATGATGTGGAAAACTTGATTGCAGTTGTTTGCACCAATAGTGGCATTACAATTTGTTTTGCCTAAAGCATGTTTTGGAGAGCTAATTCTTTTTCTGGAAAAAAATGAATAAATAAAATCACCTGTGTCCACTTATGAACTGAGCTTTATATCAAAGAATTGGTGTGAAAGAAAGGTTTAATTGCTTTAAAACCATTAATGTTCTAACCATGGTACATGACCCAAATGCAGAGACTGAAGCTAAAGGTGGGTTCTTGCAGATTTATTTATCCAAAAAAAAAGGCAACAGAAGCAAAAATCCAAAACCATAAATCCTCAGGACCCACAAAAATACAGAGAACAAGAAAACTCACTTGAGATTAAGATGATGATGCTTTGAAAGGTTTTACAGCAAACACAAACAGTTATACTTACACGGATGGGATATAGCCAAACTAAAAGTAGCCCAACCTACATTTCTGGTTTAATCAACAACAAATGTTTTGTCTGTTTATTGGGTATTTAGAGATTATTTAACTTTGATCCCAAAATAAAGTGATAGTTTACATTTCAGCCACTTACCAAGCATGTTTGAATACAGCATACATTGCATGTGAAAATATAACAATAACCTGAGAATGTCAGATCAAATTATGACTCAAGATTCATTTAAACTCTATTTCAAGTGTCTACTCTAACAATGAGCTGCCATGTATTTGGTCAAATGCCAGGCTTGACACAATAAACATCATAACCTTCCCTGATATGATGATAATTTGACATAATGGAAATGTTGCATTTTTTTTGTGCGTAGCGATATCCGGTGGGAGCTCAGGGTGCCAGCAAGGTGGCTGCCTGACCTGCTCTGACTACAACGGCTGTCTGTCCTGCAAGCCTCGTCTCTTCATGCACTTGGAGAGGATCGGGATGAAGCAGATCGGAGTGTGCATGACTTCCTGCCCTCCTGGCTTTTACGGCACCCGGTCCCCAGAGAGAAACACCTGTACAAGTGAGTAAAAATTAAGAGAAATACGACATTTTCATTGTCCTCATTCCTTATCCGAATGATTAGAGGGTTGTGTTGGTTATTCTTTTTCTCTCTTTTTTTTTTGGTCTTTTGTACTGTTATTTAAATAGGACAGTAGAAACAGTAAATATACCCATCAAATCACTTTCTTTCCATATTGTCACATTAAAACTTTTTTTTTGTAGAGGACAAAAAAAAAGTGAAAGGGAAATAATGAATAATTCGTTATGAATACAAAAATTAAAACATATTGATAACATTTATGTTTCAGTCCTATTTACTCTATCACATTGAACACATAGTTCTAACTGTGAAGTATGGTGGTGGCAGCCCCATGCTGTGTGAAGCTGGTAAAGCAGATGTAGGATAGATGAAGCTAAAAGCAAGGCAATCATGCAGAATAAGTGTAAAAAGCTGCTAGAGATTCCCAGCAGGTCAGAGGTTCACCCTCCAGCAGGACAATACCATAAGCTCCACTAGGATGTTTTTAGACCAAAGCTTACTCTGCTGTTGGAATGGCCCCAGGCAGTCCAAAATAAGAATAGATATGCAAATCTGAGGCAATGTCAGAAATTATATGTTCATTAGCCATCCCATTTGACTGATTCTTTCGCAATAAGTAATAAAAAAATAAATATTTTATAGCTGTGCAAAGTTGGCAGAGAAAACCCCACAAAGGACTTGAAGGCATAATTAATGAGAAAGTCTGTAAAAATGTGACTCAGGGGGATACATAAAATACAAACTGAAGTTTTTATAATCTTATTGTTATAATCTTATCTCTCTTTTTTATGTGGAACTATAACACTTAATTGTAATTGAGGTTTTCTCCCTGGGCCAGAAATCCTTTGAAAAATATGTTGTTGTTTTTTTATCAAAATGTTATATTCCGGGAAAATATAACTTTTGATCAAATGAAAATAAAAATGATTTAGAAATGAATAAAACTAAGAAAAAACATTCTTTCTTTTTTACTTCTGCTCTAACTTGTGATGGTCAGTGATATAAAATCCTAATGAATACAGTCAGGTTTAAGGTTGTAATGTGACATTATGTGGGAAAGTTCCAGCCAAATAAATGATTCCACAAGTTGGTTATTTAGAGAATTGTAGTTTGTTTACTCTTCTTTATAAGCAAGACTAGCTCTAACATGACATTTTTAGAAAATGTATTTAGATCATTTAGAGATAGACTCATAGTTTTATTTGTTGTCTAATATCATTCTGCTTCATGGATATACTGGATAAACTGCCTGCCTAAACATAACTGGTGGTCCTGGGATCTTTTTGTCTCAGAGTGCAGGTCAGAGTGTGACTCGTGCTTTAACAAGAACTTCTGCACGCGCTGCCGATCAGGGTTCTACCTTCACCTGGGCAAGTGCCTGGACAGCTGCCCAGTGGGCATGGTCCACAGCAATGCACAAAGGGAGTGTGTCCCCAGTGAGTCTCTTCATTTCACTTTCCTTAAGGCTAACAATGAAATCTGAAGACCTTTATCAGAAAAAGAAAGATGTTGATTTAAGTGTTGTAACCTCGCCTACAGGATGCTCTGCAGAGTGTGAATCATGTGTGAACAGCGACACATGCACAAGGTGCCGGCCAGGGCTTTATCAGCTGAATGGAAGGTGCTACCACATCTGTCCAGATGACTATGAGCCCAACGACAAACTAATGGAGTGCACACCACAAGGTAAGTCCAGCATAAGACAATGTAAGAATGTCTGCTTTTGCTGGACATTTTAATCTGCTATGAATAAAAGTTTCTTTCCATTTATAAAAGAATCAAAAGTTCTTCTCTTTCTTCGGATTTGAACTAGCAGTTCAAATGAACAGTAGCATGGAGGGTAGCTCTGTTCGAGTCCCAGCCTGGGGTCTTTCTGCATGGAGTTTGCATGTTCTCCCTGTTGATGCATGGGTGCTCTCTCCATGTACTCCGGCATCCTCCCACAGTCCAAAAATATGACTGTTAGGTGAATTGGCTTCTCTAAATTCTCCTTAGATGTGAGTGTGTGCATGTGCATGGTTATTTGTCTCGGTATTGCCCTCCGATAGACTGGCGACCTATCTAGGCTGTACTCCGCCTCTCACCCACTGACAACTGGAGATAGGCACCAGCACCCCTCGCGACGATGGATGGATGGATGGATGGATGGATGGATGGATGGATGGATGGATGGATGGATGGATGGATGGATGGATGGATGGATGGATGGATGGACTAGCAGTAGGGACTCAATAGCTTTAATAGCTTTTTGTTTCTTGGTTTTGGTAACTGCTTTTCATAATCTTGACATTCTTTCAATGATCTACATGAGGGTGTCACCTAACATGGTTTTCCAACAGTCTTGAAGGAGTTTCAAGGTGTAGAAGTAAAGTAGTGTGCCCACACATTAGACTGGCAGTGTATGTACTGCATGGCTACAAACATACATACAGTACCATCTCAGTAAATTGGATTATGTGTTCCCATGAGTCCCAATTATCTGATAAATAATACACTTTAAAAATAACTTTTAAGCAATAAGCCTGAGTGCCTTCTGTATTAAACATGTTCTGTATTAAATATGTTCTGCTAAATTATAACCTTAAATGGCCCTTTTGGTTTCTTTGTAAGTGGGAAATCATCATAACAAACAGAAATAAAGGCTTAAAAACCTCCCTCTGTCTGTAGTTAATCTATATCATGTGTTTTACTTAGTAAATTGAGTTAAAGAAATAAAACGACATTCCAGATGTTTTAATTTATTGTGATGCACCTGCATATGTTACTTATTGAGCTTTGTCATGAAACCCAAACAAAGTGGAGCAAGTTTCCAACATATCTGGTCCCTCAACTCAGATATCCATGCTTTAAATTCAGGGTGAGAAGCAATTCCCTACATTTTTAATTACTAAATAGAGGTGGAGGGCAAAGTCATTGTGAAAAGCCATATCAGCCATATTTACAGTTTCTTATGAGCCATCAAGGGCAGGGGATAGGCAAGGTTGGTTCCACTGGCCTACAGCTTTAGCACAGAAACACCAAACATTGCTCAATGTTGACGGCATTATTAGAGAAAGCTTTTACTGAGCAGGACCAGAGAAACTGTTCAGTCTTATTGAGACGAGAGATTGAGCTAAATGCAGGTTAGAAGAAAGAAGAAAACTTGCTGAAGGCTGCAAAAGACTAGAGAGCAGTTACAGGTTTACCTTCAGTGATCTAGAGCTACAGTGTAATTGGTCCAGATACAGAATGTTATCGTTTAGATGAGCGTAAAAATATACAACGAGATTCCATTTAGGATCCTCGAGAAGGCATGAAGTTTGATGTGACTAATAATTGAATGCAAAATAAGAGTTTCAACACTTTTAATTTTCATTTAACTTAGTTTGACATTTCGGTGAAGCTTTGTGACTGTAACCTCTCCCTCTCCATGTTTCTCATGTTAGTGCACTGTGAGGTGGGCGAATGGAGCGAGTGGAGCCCCTGCTCTAGGTCAGGCAAAACCTGCGGCTTCAGGCGAGGCCAGGAGACCCGCACAAGACAGGTCCTGCAGTATCCGTCGCCTTTTGGGAATCCCTGCCCTGACCTCTCTGAGGTCAATAACTGTCTGGTGAAGAAGAAGAGATGTCCAGGTAATTGCAGCAAAACAGCTGTTTTTTTCTCCTCCGGACGGATATATGATTAAAAAAAAAAAAATACATATATTGATCAAAACAGCCAATGCAGCCAGTTTTAATTGCTGTCAAGTTCTCAGGTTCACATTCAATGCTGCATTTGGATCAAATAGCACAGTTTCGGCTCTATGCATTCCTGAAAGCTCTGCTTCAGTTTGTACAACCAGAAAAGACCAGTCTTCCACTCAGGACTGCATGTTTACTCAGAGGACTGTCATTGTGGATGTAGCCAGGACAGTGGGGGGAGCACACATGTGTGATGTTGCAATTGGCAAACTGTTTGGGGTTTCTTTTTTTGTTTTTTGTTTTTTTCCCCACCAGACCTTCTGATTTGAAACAGTGAAACCACTCTCTTTGCTCCCAGTAAACAAGGAATAGCGTGATCATTTCTAATGTAGGGTGAAAAGTACTTTCAGACGAGGCTTGTCTTTTTTTTGTGTGTGAAATCTGCCGCCTACAGCACATTTACGACCACTTTGAGCTTCTCTGGTGTGTGTGTGGGTACCGAGGTGGTTGGTTGTCGGTTATGGCTTATTGTTTTTTCTCCGGGGTTCTGCAGTGTTAAATGACAGATTGCAGACAGGGTATAAGGCTGAGATCCAGTCCCATGGGGCCTCACACTTACAGAACAAACACTGTACTAGTTTGTGTGTGTCAGTGTGTGTGTGATGCAGCAAAAAGCAGTTGACTCTGGGGCAGAGACAGCCAGCTCAACATCAACATCCTCCTCTTGGGAGGCAAGAGGCGACTAGGGGATCAGTATTGGTTTATCCCCACAGCTGCTAATGCACACACACGATAATAAGCTGGCACACACAAATCCAAAGCAGCATATATATGCACATCGCCAGCTAAAACTAGACTGTCTCTGTTTTAAACAGGCCAGAAAATTGCTCACATTCTCACTTACACACATCTCTAGGTACACAGATTCCACCTTTTAAATAACTCCAAAGTCGACACTGTTGTAGTTAGTCAGGGGCTGATATGATTTGCATGGTGGACTTGGAAATGTTACCTCTGTCTCCTTATTTATCATTACACAACTTGTGTGCACCAATGGATCAGAACCCAACATCAGTGCTGAGGATTTTGATTCTAGTCACTTAGATTGAGGACTGGGACTTTAATGTGGATTTAAATTCTACTGATCCAACCAGAGCAAAAAAAAAAAACTAGAGAGAGTAGACTGTTCTTATCAGTTCTCTCCAAGAGACTCCACAGTGAATGGAAGCTAATTATCTGCCTCGATGCATCCTCTCCTCACTGTTTACGTTCTGCACACGCTAGGGGGTCAGTGGCCTGACCTCAGAGAGCCCCCAGTAATCCTCCAACAGTCCTCCAACACTGATACATCCTTCTTCCCATCTTCTGCCTTTCTTCCTTTTTCTGTGCTTTCTGCTTTAACTTCTTCACCCCCTGTGACCTGCATCTCCGTTTCCTCTTCCTGTAAATATTTCTTCTTTCCACAATGTTTTCTGTCTTCCCTTATTATCACTTTTATATATCATCATTTTCTAAGAGATACAATGATCAACCTTTTGGCGGATACCAATGCTAGGTTTTCTTTAGGATCTGATCTTAGACTCTGGTCTTTTTATTTCTATTTTTCCAGACAACTATATCACAATAGGATAAGTCCACTTATAAAACGTAAAGAAATCCACATGAGGAATTATCGTATGATTCACATTTATGTATCAAATATTATTTACATGGATTGCTAAAAACTCAAAGTGCATGTTTCTTTTTAAACCAAAGTTCTATTAATACACTTCATAAAAGACAGATTGCAAAGGTAGATTAAAATGCATCACTTTTATTTTATACATGGCTTATTTATTAATAAAAAAACTGTCCAGAATTCCCCTTAGATTTTCTTCTCTTCATCCTTCTGTTTTTCTTTCCCAGGAGACATAGACACCTTACGTTCAAAGTAACGTTCTAATAAGCATGAAAGAAACTAGAATATCAAAAGATTTCATGATACTTTATGTAAACATAAAATTGGTTCAAGAGATTAATCTGTACTTTTTGCTTACCAGAAGACTGATCCTTCTGAGCAGCTAACTTCAGGTTCTTTAGATTTTATCCTCTGACATCGTACTGGCCTTTTAACGCACAAATTTCAGAGCTGAAATTCTAAACTTAATCCAATAATTATAAATGCTCAGACCCATGCAACCTCATTTGTCCTTTCGCAAATGATTGCTGTCTGGATCATCCCTTAGTAGAACTTAAGTTCACCTTCCTTGACTCTATAGCTTGATGGACCATTTGTCTGTCTGCTGACCCCAAAACATGTTATGCAGAAAGTGCTGAAAAATACACCATGTATTACCCACTCAGAAAAGCTACCCCCAGTCAACCACTCGGTGTATACATGTACTATATGAGTGAGTGGATATTATTCACACCACAATCCCCATCGTGACATCCTGGCACCCATGCAGCAGGCATTCCACTTGTGGGACATCCCAAGGCCTTTAATCCCAGTCTGTCTACCGCTGAAAGCTCCCCTAACGACAGAACGGCTGCCGCAGAGAACGCACCAGCATGAAACCCCACAGTGTCCTTTTAAACATCCTTCTGAATACTTCTTCTGTCGGTAACACATGTGATGGGTTTTCAATTATGAACCCCTTGTGGTTTTCTTTGACAACCCTCCCCAGTGTCCGATCAGTGGTTTCATGTTCCATAAAGTTGTTTTCTTTGTTCTTCACCCAGTGAATTTTGTACTCTGTCTCTGTGTCACTGATTTCTATAGCCTTCTGTTCCAAATAGTTTCTTTGGTGGGAAATAGCTCTTGTGCTTGGAAAAAAAGACTAAGTGAGCCTCTTCTTGCATCCATCATTTATCATTTAGTGTTTATAGTACAGTATATACTCCTACCCTCATTAAACCTTTTGACCAACCAGTTATACCTTCTCTCTTATCATTCTTGTTATCCTCTACCTCATTAAGGTGGTATTAACAGTACAGCTCCCTCTTGATTTCAGTTATCTAACACAAAGCAGTTTGTCACACTTGATAATACAGTCTCCGTCAATTTAGAGGTGCCTCAAAGTTATGTTAACGGGCCCTTCCCTTTCCTAAAATATTCCTTTTCTAATTAAACATAAATCCACCTCAGAAGTAAGTTCTCCTCTTAAAAAATATGTAACTATGCAAAATCTAGAAACCTGTGTATAGGGCTTGATTTGATGCAATGCAGCTCCCTTTCCTTTCATGTCCTGTTAAAACTTGGGCAATAAGGCAACAATCACTTGACCTCTTTTAAACGATTGACTGGCGAAATTTTGGCATGTAAAATCCAAGCTTGTACATATAAACGGTTGGGCACAGGCTTGCATTGCAATACAAGGAGTTTCTTCTTTTGTTTGTTTTTGTGCTTTTATTGCCATGGCATGCAAATACAAGCACTGAATGCAAGTCTTATTGACTGACAAATCTACAGCCAATTTCCACATGGAGAAAAACTATATTATAGCTTTCTTCTACTTTCTTATAATATGTGATTTTAGTAAATTGTAGAAAACTCTTCAGCCTTGATGCCTTGACTGTAAAAGACTGCTTTGGAAATTTTAAAATCCATTCAATCATATTTCTTGGTGGCACACAACAGATTGAGGTTTGCAACCCGTAACATCACCATCGTGTCCTGTGTTGGCTTTAAAGGCGGTGGAGTTGAAAACAATGTGTAGTAGACATTTGCAACTCCCTGTTTGTCAAAACCTGTATGTCTATAAAGCTACTTAAATTCAGGATAAGGCATTTGAGCTGGAATTTTGCAAGAGTAGTTGATTTATCTATTTTCTTCTGTCAATCCAAAAATGAATCGTGGAAGCAATGAGTCCAGAAGGAAAACCCAAACACACAATCTTTCCAGCAACACTGCTTATTTTGAATGATTCCAAGTTTTGTCGAAGTCAGCAAAATCTGAGTCTATCCCAGGGTCTTTATTCAGTGGTACCTGCACAGAAAACTTCTAAAGGGAAGCAAAGATGGTTTCCTGATCAGATGATAAAAACCACACCATCTCCTTACAGTGTTGAAACATAGTGACTACCTCAAGCCCCTTACCTTCTATCTACATTCAGCCACTCCATGGAGAGAGGTGGTTTCAGTCTTTTGTCTCTTTTGGTTCTGATTGCTTCAGTCCTGGTTCAAATCCATGACTGTTAGCTGGGTATAAACAGTAGGAAAACCAATAATTCATAACTTTTTTGGCTCAGCTCTTTTTTCACTCAGTATAGCAGGTCATTCATGCAGATGAATTATTTTTAATTTAAGCAACTGTAATTAACATCAGGATAGAATCTATGCAGATGATTGCTTAGATATAGCTAATACTAAATAGACTGTAAATGACATAAAGTCCAATGAGACAATCATCGTTTCCAAAAAAAGGAACTCAACCCAAATCTGTCCGAAAAAGTCAATATTTCGGAGAAACTTGTAACAAAATTTGAGTGTCCAAAATAACTGTTCTGAAACAATACAGGTGTCTCATTTAGGGAAATTATCCACACGTCTGCTCACAGTTTACGTTTAGCCTGTCGGAAACTGTTCCAGCAAACCAAATTCATGTTGGCCTGATAAACACTCTGCTAATCATCTTACCACTAGCACGGATTAGGTTTCTGCTCTGGTTTAACAAAAGCACTGGGGCTACAGTATGACTAATCCACTGAACTTGTAAATAGTTATGGTGTTAGGACAGAGAAAACAATGAGAGCGAAGGGGACTTCCTGTGTTTATAGAGGATGAGGGCATACCGTGGATGAGTCAGTGGACCAGATTACCCCGTCCATCCATCCATCCATCGGTTCATCCATCCATGAAACCAGCTCTCTTCACTATGACTTCTGTTTTTCTGAAAACAATCTGCATGTTGCCGTCAACACTTGAACAGCATTTCTGCTCCATTTCCACCACAAAACCTCTTTTCTTTACAAAATGTCAAGCATAAAAAGTAGCACAGAAGTTAGGAAGAGTTGTACACCCCCCATTGCAAAAGGCATAAGCCAGACTTGACTCCTACTCCAACCAAAGACCTGCCTTGATTAATGCATGTAGGGGGTGAGGCGAGAGGCAAAAAGCTTGCAGACAGGAAAGACAGATCTCTCTTTCTCTTTCTCTCTCTGTGTCTGAGCCCACTGCCTACTTCAGCAATTTCACAATCCCCAAACAGGCAGCCAACAGCCGAGCAGGCCGTGCTGCTCCGTTCCACTCACACATGAGCGGCACCCGTACAACAACAGGAATGGGCCCCCTCTGCTTTCACTCGTAGGTCCTGTCTCCAACCTCCCTGAGGGTAGATCTTGTTATTATCATTAATAACCGCCGCTCAGGCAGAGATAAAACCTTAAGCATTCCAAAAACTCCCACTTTTGTTTATGAGACAGTGTTGCAAGAACAGATAAAATGGGGAGGGGGGTTATTTAAAGGCTTTCTATTTTCGACAAAGGTCTGCTCATCATATGCAGAGGGCCACAACAGCTGACAGGCTGACAGCAGAGCAGTTTCCTGTTAGTGATCACTGACACCTACTGGTGGAAAAAGAAACTAACATTATTCCTGGTTTAAGGCCTCTGTCATCCTTTTTTTCTTATTTTTTCTAAACTACAGAATAATAAGAGGGAGTTTTTTTTTTCTTCAAAAATATATATTTATTTGTGGAAGTGAGGGAAATTAAGTTTAACTTCCTGATTAATGTAACATAACACAATTTCTTTATGTTGCCAAACGTTTTGTGAATTCCACTAATGCCACCTGCAGTGAAACACCCCACAACATGATGCTGCCACTACTGTACTTACTATTTGGGATAGTGTCCTCAGGCTTGCAAGCTCTCCTGTTTTCCTCTGAATGTAACGATCATTAATATTGCAACACACTTTAATTTTAGTTTCACTGAATCACAAAATAAGTAAGAGAAATTAAGGGCCTTCTCCCTGGGTGTAAATCCAAAATATAATCTGGCCTTGTCCAGTGGTCTTTCAGCTCTCTTACAGGTTACAGCCAGAAGCTCAAAAAGGTTTACTACTTTTGTGATGGGATTTATTTAGATGCTTTGCACCAAAGCACCTTGATCTCTAAACCACTAAACCTTACTTGACACAAACTTCCCAAATAACCTTAAAGTAACGGTGTTTAAATTTGTGGAAACTTTTAAACTGAAATATGAAAACATTCTGTAATAACTTTTCTTATTCATCATTCTTGCATTAAGCTGAGTATATATCCTCTTTTATTGCATTACATTTTGGGAAATTGGCAAGGACATTTATAACAAGCAGGGTAAAAAATCAGGAAGTCATCCGAATTATAATCTGCTATGTTAAAATGTTCTTGCCTTTCAGGACGGAAGAAGAACGACAGAAGAGACAGGAGGAATCGCAACAACCGCAAAGACAAGGAAACCCAAGAGGTGCGGAGGGAGAGGAAGAGGGAGCGTGAGCGGGACAGGGACACCAGTGAACGTGAGGACTCTGACAACAGAAACAAAACGGAGCACAGACACCGAAGAGGCAATGACTCACAGACAGTCTCTCCTGGAGACGGCCTCGTGCAATAAAGCTGGGGACAGACGAAGACATCCTCTGGTTGTCTCCCCATCCTTCCTGCTAATGGCATCTCTCCCTTACCAACTATCTCGCCTCTCTTTGACCCCTCTTTACAGGGGTGTTGCTGCTACTTGTATGGTTTCAACAGACCGTTCTGACATCAGTGTTATGGGGCACATTCACAGACTTTAAGAAGCCCTTTTGATCTCATAAACTGCATCATCATCGCACAAAGTGTATCCTGTGAAAGCTTTAGTGGACACTGCTGTTGAGAAACTGGGAACAGTCTGGCACAGCAGAGGACTGGGACAGACTAAGACAGAGACATTTGCTTGTTTATATGGTTATTTAATGGAGCCCTGGTACAATATTGTGTATCTTTGGTTTCAAAATGTAGATTACAGTGATTTCCAAAGGTATCTGTAGCCCCTGAACGTGTTTTTTTTGCATTTTATTACATTATAACTCAAAACTTTATACTAATTTATGAAGTTCTGTGCTCGACCAACAAAAATGGGGCATCATTATTAAAAGGAATAAAAGAAATCACAATTTTAATATTTTTCATACAAATAAAAATCCAGAATAGCTCAAGCTGTATTTGCATCCTGCCTTCATTTAATCCAGTTTTAATCTAGTGCAACATTAGAACTCATCAAATTTGTAAAAAATAAAAATAAGAAAGAATCCAAATGTTAATCATTTAATCTGATTACAATGCAGTTGTTCAATGAAGGCCTCATAGATTTCTTAGAGAACAGAACAAAAAGCATCTTAAATACCAAGGAGCATAGCAGACAGGTCAGGAGTTTGATGCAATGGTTGGGTTGTAAACAACATCCCTAACTTCATGTGATGTACTGTTCAAATCATCTTTCCAAAGATTGGAAGAGGGGAAAAACGATTGCAATTGCAAACCTAGCAAGATATAAATGTCCAGCTAAACTGGCTAAAAGGAGAACATCAATCCAAAAGCAGCCTAGAGGTCCATGGTGACTCTAGAAGAGCTGCAGAGATCCTTAGTTGGCGTTGATGGAACAAAGCTCTGAGGAGTCCGGTTTAATGTTCACCTCCAGCTGCGTAGAAGTACATGGCATACATGGAGTGAAAGATGTATTTGGATGTGACCAAAATCAGCTATTTATGCCACATTCGCTACAGAGGTAAGAGGAACACTAAACATCTCCATTATGATCCAAACCCACAATCAGGAAAAGCAGCAGCACCAGCTTGGATTGGGAACAGATCAGAATAGATGGATGGAGCTAAACATGAAACCACCCTCTAAGAACACCAGCTGGAGGCAGCAGATGACTGAATCCTGCAGGCAATTCAGTTTGTTTTTTTGGGAAAAATTAAAAACCATCTTTCTTTTACCTTTTTCACAAATATTCTCCACTTGTACATCAGTCACATAAAAAAACCTAATAAAATATCGGCTCATTTGTGGATGTAATGTGACAAAATGTGACTTAGTTCAAGGCGTGGGAATACTTCTGTAGGACAGTTTATTGTTGTTGTTGTACTTGTGTAGATCTCTCTATCCGGTACAAATTTTGTAAATAAAGCTGTGAGTTTGAGTTCTCACTAGCAGACAGATGTATGGAAAACAGAGTGCTGTGTCCAAAACTGAGAAATGTACATGTCAACTATGTACATGTATTTACATGAAAGTCATAGATCTTCCAAGACCACTACCCCCACCCTCCTCTTTTTTTGTTGTAAATGGATGCTCCGAGTAAAGCTCATCGAACCAAACCAAAAACTGTATGTAAAATAAACCTGTACTGGTTTCTAAGTCTGATTTTTATTATTATTACTTAGCTCCATAAACAGCTAATAACTGATAAGGGATTCCTGCTTGTAGGTCTATTGTCGGTTATGAAGAAACAAACATGGTGCTGCGTTATTTATTGGGACCATAAAGAGCTTTATAACCTACCAATGTTTAATGATCAGGTACAGAGCATTAACCTGATCAAAGTCTAACAGCGTAGTATTTTTATACATGTGTATTCAGAATACATTTCAGTAACTAAATATGTGACATTAGGGGTTTTATTGTTTTTTTTTTTTTACTTTTTTATGACTGGTTTTTAAGTTTAGGAGAGCAATAGTGCATCAAAGCAGTTGTTTCCAAAATAACTAGCTCATTTGACCTTGATAATTCACTTCGATCAGGTCATTTAAACACATGTCCAGGGTGTGACTTCCAACTTGGGGATGTTTTCCCTTTCTTCCACCCTTCTTTAATCTGCCCTTTTGCTGTTTTATTACTGTGAATAAAGGCCACCAATGCCATACTCCCTTATTAACACAGAGTCATTTCAAGAAAGTATTTGTCTTAATATTTCAAAGTATTGAAGCAATGGGGTACAGCCACTGACACACTGGGTGTTAAATAGCAGCAAGTTTCAAAATACTTAGATATGACTACAGATGACCTTTGTGGTGGTTTTATTTGGAATCTTCTAAAAGAAGCCCTATAAAGAGTAGCCTAAGCAGTCTCACTGATCGGTGACATTTTTTAAACCTTCATTGTTAAAGATAGATGAGGGAAAAGAAGCATTTTAAAGTTCATCGGTTTATTGGTGGAGTGAATATTTTGCTCTTCAGTAACAACAACCGTTTAAGCATCAGCAGGTATGACAGCGTCCCTCCTTGTTCACAGCAGAAAAGTCAGAATGCATTCAGATTTGCAAAAATATAATTATCACATTACAGTAGAGAATGGGCATGAATTATACACACATGACAAAGCTGTGGTCGATAAAGGGGGAAAAACAAAAATAAAGTCAAAACAAAATGACCCTACTGCCAACAGAAAAAGAGGAAACACTGATGGATGTTTAGATAGTCTGATGCATTTTAAGACCGAATATCCATCACCGGTGTTATTTCTTGACCCCAAGCAGCTGCACTTTACTTCATGTTGGCTGCAAAGTCCTCTCCTTTCTTGATGGAGGCCTTCAGCTCACCGATGGCACTGGCTACCAGCTTCTCCTCAAACGCAGACAGCTTGCCCAGGCCCAGGTTCTTCTCGATGCCGTTCTTTCCCAGCAGCAGGGGGGTGGAGAAGTACTTGCACTCCGTCTCCTCGGACCTGACGAAGGCGCACTCCACCACGCCCTCCTTCCCGTTCATGGCGTCCAGGACGGAAAAGGTGAAGCGAGCACCTGCGTAAGCCATGGACAGGGTGGCGGAACCCGCTCCAGCCTTGGCTTTGACCACCTCTGTGCCGGCTTCCTGGATCCGCTCGGTGAGGGCGGTCAGCTGGTCGGCAGGGAACTCCACCTTAGGGGTGCACTGGGAGATCAGGGGGATGATGGTCTTCCCAGCGTGACCGCCAATCACAGGGACGTTGACCCGAGCCGGATCCAGGCCTTTCAGCTCCGCCACGAAGGTGTTGGCCCTGACAATGTCCAAGGTGGTGACCCCGAACACCCTGTTGGGGTTGTACACGCCGTGCTTCTTCATTACCTCCGCGGTGATCGGGATGGTGGAGTTGACGGGGTTAGCGATGATGCAGATCATGGCCTCGGGGCAGTTGCGTGCGCAGGCGTCCGCCAGGTTAGCTACAATGGTGGCGTTGGTGTTGAACAGGTCGTCCCGGGTCATACCGGGTTTCCTCGGCACGCCGGCCGGGATAACCACCACCTCACAGCCCTGCAGAGCGGCGTCCAGCTGGTCAGGGCCGATGTAGCCGCTCACCTGGGCTCTGGTTTCGATGTGGCTGAGGTCGGCGGCCACCCCGGGCGTGTGAGCGATATCATAGAGGGAGAGCTGGCTCACCAACGGGCTGTTCTTCAGGAGCAGGGACAGCGGCTGGCCTATGCCTCCAGAGGCGCCTAGCACCGCCACCTTGGCGTGGTTCTGCGAGGAGGTGGAAAGGCTCCGGGCCAGGCTGAGGGTGGGTCTCACTGCACGGGAAAACATCTTTCTTTCGGTTCTTCTTTGTGTTTAGTTTGGTAAAAAACAAAAATAGTCGACGAGCCCCTTTCCTCTGTGACACCAACGTCCTCTAGCAGCGAGTGAACAGGACCGCTCAGGGTTCTTCTCCTTGATGTTGTTGGAAGAAGGTCGTCATCAGTGAAGCATTACTGTCACCTAGTGTTCAGGAGGGCGAACTGACCGCTCACACATTACCCCGGTAAACAACTTTTTCACATTTTTCCCCATTAAAGTATAAATCAGGTAGGCTAAATATTTTTGATGGACTATTAAGTGAAATACCAATAAACAATTAGAGCTTAACTGTGAAGTGGTAGCACTCTTAAAAAAAAAAAAAAAAAATGCAGTTACTGTAACTGTCAAGTCCCTTCTAATTTGTTACCTCTAATTAAAATCAGATCAACCATTGTCATACGGTTCAAGGTAACTTTATTGAAACCTGTAGGTACATTTGTTTCTCCAGTCTGGAAAGGTATGTAGGACCAACCCTGCCATATTTAAAAATAAATACAGAAATAAATAAAAGCTCAATAAATAAATAAGCATACTATTAATTGCCCCAAAAAATACAAAAAACAAATAAATGTAGGAAGAAATTAAATTATACAGGGAGACATAAATGTATATATCTCTTTTAATTAGCTTCTTTGTTTATTCACATTTGTAATAATTAGCTTATTTATTTATTGTCAGTTATAATCTTCAATTTTATTTATTTATTACTTTTTTAAGTATTTATGTGTATTTTATAGTATTTTTGTCTGTTTTATTCTTCCTTTGTATTCTTTTACCCTCGTTATTTCTTCAAGAGGGGCATCTCAATATTTGAATATACTTTAAACACACAGAACACATACATTCAGTACAGCCCAGACATTTAGAGGCATTCCCAGCGCCTCATTGAACATGCTTAAAAGAATAAAAACAGCATACTAAGAGACTAGAGCGTGCTCAAAGGGTAATTGATGATAGAAATAAATAAAGTAGGCCTGCGTAAAATTAAAAGGGCCTCAAGATTTATTTTAAAGAGAGACGGCTACAGAAACCATTACTTTAGCGAGGGGTCCTAACTCTCGGGACACTGAATCTCCATCCAGAAAGAAGCTGCAGGAACTCACTCGCCAGGGGATGGAAATCCCTGGTGGAGATGGAGATAGCCAGTCAATGCACCGGTCTGGTGAACAGTGATTGTAAACAGGGTTGTGAATCCCCATTGAGATGACCACTCCTTTTAATGATCTGGTTCAGTGAGTTCCCGCTCCTATGAGCACAAAGTTATAAAATGTGTCCTTTGCTTCATGTGGAGAGATACAGTAAACCTCTGGGATAACGTGGATCAAAATAAAACTGATCATTTTCATTTAAGAGAGCAGATATTTAACAAAACAAAGGGAGGCCCATGTTTTGGGCAAAATGTGGCAAAAATGGCCCTGTTAAGGCTGGGAAAAAACCCTTGAAAGACTTTGGTCAGTGCTTTAAAGGTCAAAGGAGTGGAGGTTACCCTTTCAGCTGTAAAAAACATGAAACACAGAGAAAGGATCAAGTTTTGTAATGGTAATGCTGGTAAACATGGTAACTTTGACAGAGCTGCAGGAGTGAGAGTTAGTAGACAGGACACATTTCAGGTTTTAAGACCATGTACCCTTAGGCCGAACATATCATTCTAAGCACACCGTCCCAGTGAAACATGGTGGTGGCAGCATTATGCTGCTTTCTTTTTCAGGAAGAACAGTTATGCTAGTTTAGGGTTCATGGGTATTTGAATGGTATTAAGTGCAGGGCAAAGAAACATAATTTATGCTTCAGATATTTAGGTTTTATACTTCTGAGAAGCTGATGTTTCTTAGGAACAAATAGAAGAAGTGCTAAAGCTAACCCTTTTTACTTCCTTAATATAAAAAAATAACTCAGCTAAGGTCCTTTTCAAATGTCATGTAGGACCTAAATAGCCACAGAGAGAGATGTAAATGATAAATAGTTTCCTCATACAAGATCTTACATACATAGTGGCTATATACCCATGACAGCAGTGTCATACTCACTTTTTTATCTTTAAAAGAGCATATGCCTGTATTCCATAATGTGGAATGTATTTTTTAGTCTCAAGGGTCGGATTAACTGCTTTGATGGGACTGTATGAGCTCAACACTTATGCCCTTAATGTTGACAGAGAAAGTAATACATACATGTAAAATGGAAACAAAAGGTTACATAGTTTCAAGCAGTCTCATCTATTCTCCTTTGCAAAATAGTTCAAACTCTGTCAATAATGGACAAAGAGCCTCTGTGAGCATCAGTTATCAAGGCTTGCCACAGATCAAAGTCTGGACTTTAGCTGGTCCATCCTAACAGCATCTATGTGTGAAGTCTGGTCTAAAACCTTTTTTTAAGAGACAAGCTTTAATGCGGCATAAGCCTGTAATTTATTTAAAGAAAAGGAAAATTGTAAATGCTAATTTACTTATTTATTTTTCTCAGTGTAAAGTTTTCTCCTAATTTTGGATAAATATATATATATATATATATATAAAAAAAAAGCTGAAAAAAAAAAACATTTAATTCAATTTAATTCATCTAAATGTAATTCCTCCTCACGTCGCTTGTGATTGGACCATCTGGATGTGACGTCCTCTGACGTAAAGACGCACTGTTACGTCGCCTCCTTTATCTCAGCTCCTCTTTGAGAGGAAAACAAAGCCTGTTAACATTGGAAGTCGATATATTTGTGTTTTCTCACACGGCTCTTGTACCACTATTTTGCGAGCGTGAAGAAGGCCAGTAGAAATAGATTTAAAGATATGGTGAGTATTTAATCGTTATGGGGATTTTGTCATGTTTATGTCGCCCTCCTGAAACAAGCTAGCTCCGTCAAATGAGATCCGTCTATTTACTGGAGGCTGAACGCTTTGCTCAGATAGTTCTAGCTAACTACAGCTGGCTTTACTATTTATAAAAGCTTTTTAATAACTAGGTTAAAAATGACACTTCTGTTTAAACCTCTTAGGTTAAACACAACATATAACTATGTGCGCAGCTCTTATTTGTGAGCGATACACTAATTATCTGCAGTGCAACGTTAAATATGTCACAACAAACCTTTTCATAAGGACATATTTGCTAAAAAGTGGGACAGTCCCCCAAACCAACCCTCTCCCCAGGCATTTAGAGCTAAATAAATAACAGTGAACTTTTCATAGCTTCACTTTTAATACTCCGAAGCAATTTTTTTCTGTTTGGCTGATAATAAATCTCTATAACATTGCGTACCTGTGTCCAATCTGCTTTAAGATTTATCTGACCTCTTTCCACAGTGGGTGGTTTGAAGGTCCAGAGCTTCCCCTGATGATCCAACTGCATTGACAACTCTAGGTAAGTGTTTTAATAACATATGTAAGTGCTATATAATAACATTTATATGCCAAAGGTGAACTGAAGGGTTGTATTGTTTATTTCTTGTTAAAGTGCAACACTAAGTTGTAGTGCATAATAGTGCAGGGGACAGAAATAGATATTTGGATATACTTTTTTTTTTCTTTTTCACAAATAAGACGGTAAAAATAGCCCCATTAATCAAAATAACTGAAATATGACTAGTGCAACAACTAGTAAAGAAATAATTCATTTGTCATGTTTACAGGTTTGTTGTATCACCCAGTACTGGTCATATTTAAGCATAACAGTACTGATCATCAGTAAAACCAGGCACATATTGACAGGTGTGGTTTAGTTCCATGTATTTGCCGTTTTTGTTTCAGGAGAGGATTGGTCTTGTGGTGTGTTTGGTAATGTGACCATGACTGTGATGCACATCAGGATTGGGGATGTTTAACTTAAGCAGAGATGTCAGCACTGTAGAGAAATGTTATAGGATATAGCTGTAATGTTCATATGGATATCTGCCTGTATTTTCATATCGGGGCATCCATTTTTAACTTCTTCAAGAATCAAATCAGTGATCCAAATATAGAAAGAGTGTGTTGGATCTCTACACACCAGGAACGGTGAACTACAAACTAAAACTGAACGTCATTGATGAGGAGTAACCCTCCCAGGTTCTGCTAAAGCATCCAGAGGTTAACCATCCAACAAGACAACACTGAGCTCACAGCCAGAGCAACAGCTCAGTGTTTAGATCAAAGCATTTTAGAATGGTCTATTTAAAGCCCAGATCAGTTTTTTTAAAGGCAAATATGTGGTGAGAACATTGATGGTAGCCCTGATTCTGTATCTAATCTGAGAAAGCTTTCAACTATTAGACTTTGAGAAACACTCTGACATTAAATAAGATCGATCCAGATAGGATTGCCCAAAGTAATTGTTTGCTAAACCCTTGAATATTAAAATATGTTTTTAGTTTTTTTGAAATTCTGAATTTTAATACATCCAGATGACTATTAATAGAAGCGGATGTGATGGAATTTAAAACCTCAAACACTCAGCTGACTGGATGACTCCTCATTTTATACAGTGAGGAAAACTCAATAATGTGTCCTTTACTACAGGACTCGATCAGGATGGCTAGCTGTGGGGAGGTCGACCACTCTGTGAGCTCTCTTCCATCCAGTAAGAAAGGCAGCAGCAGTGGTGCAGGTGGGAGTGGGAGCAGCGCCGAATCCTCCTGCTCAGACTCCAGCAGCTCATCCCCTGCCCTGTCTGTCCCAGAGTGCGCCATCTGTCTGCAAAGCTGCGTCCACCCGGTCCAGCTGCCGTGCCACCATGTCTTCTGCTTCCTGTGTGTTAAGGGGGCGTCGTGGCAGAGCAAGCGCTGCGCTCTCTGCAGACAGGAAGTCCCAGACGACTTCCTGGAAAGGCCTACGCTCCTCTCTCCAGAGGAGCTAAAGGCGTCGGCGGGAGGGCGCGGCGGGGCGGCGAGCGATCACGCCTGGTACTACGAAGGCCGTAACGGTTGGTGGCAGTATGACGAGAGGACCAGCCGTGAGCTGGAGGATGCTTTCTCCAAGGGGAAGAAGACGGCGGAAATGCTGATCGCTGGCTTTTTGTATGTAGCCGACTTGGAGAACATGGTGCAGTATAGGCGCAACGAGCATGGCCGCAGGCGCAAGATGAAAAGAGACGTTATAGATATTCCCAAGAAGGGGGTGGCCGGACTACGATTGGACACGGATTCTGTTGCCGGGGCTCTGGGCTCAACAGGTCGAGAAAACTCTGCAGATGGGGCCGATACCTCAACAGGAGTGGTGCAGCCACAGGCTGCTGGAGCTCCCTCTGTGGTTTCAGCCCCCTCAGCTACTGCCCGGCCCCCCACTTCCCTCGGGGGTCAGCCTGGCCCCAGTACAAGCCCCTCTGTGGAGGACAGTCTTTCCCAGCTGCAAATCAGCCCCAGGTCCATCCCTTCCCACGACAGGTCTGAGGGTGGGGAAGGAGAGGGGCAAGATGATGACGAGGAAGAGACCTCACCCTCCAGGTCCTCTGACCCCCACACCTCCGTGGAAGAATCCGGTTCTGGAGACTGGAGCGATGACGAAGAGGAAGAGGAGGGGGGGGACGGCGATCATGCAGAGGCCTGGGAGGACTGGCCGCAGAGACGAAGACTGACTCCAGAGGACAGGGGGCCTCCTCGCGCAGATTCCGCCTCTCCCCCTCCGTCTTCCCACAGCAGCGGGAGGTCCAGGATGCCTGACGGTCAGTGTACAGTGACTGAAGTGTGAACCCGTTCAGATCAATTTATGCCGTTTGCTCAGACCCAGATCTGAGGTGGGAGGCTTGTTTGGTACCAGAGGAACGAGGCATGGCACGCTCATGTTCAAACAACACTGCATTTCATTTTTAATGTCTGGCTCTTGATTTGGAAGGATTAGGATTCGTTTTCAGCCCGTCTTCAAAGGCGGCCTCAGGCTGCCAGCAGTTCGCCATCATGCTCTCGATCGGAGTGTTTTAGTTCTGATAGGTTGGGATCTATTCAAACTCAGACGTTTATATCTTCCACATCATGTGAGAAACGTTTATAGGACTTCCTGTGGTTTCAGATGTCTGCGTACTTTAATTTAAATGCAAATAGATTGTTATTCTTTTTAAGTTAAACAAAGCGACACTGTGAACTTTTTCAACCCGTTCTTCCCAGATCTAAACATTTAATGGCTCGGACTTTAAACTCAGTAAAAATAAGAGTCCCAGTAGAAATTAAGTTATCATTTTAATGAATGGTTTTATTTTGATCATCTAAAAGTTTCTTAGCTAACAGAAATTTCCTCCCATTTGTCCTTAATTTGATTAATAACTTGATCCAGGTTTCTAACCCTTGAATTAGCTAATACCTCTGGGATCATTTAAAATGCTCACAGGTAACAGAGCTGTTTTTTTTTTTTTTTAAGGATATATCCAATATATTTTACCTACATAAAGAAAAACAAACAAGATGGAAGTTCAAAGAAGCTGAATATTTACCAACATGCTTAATTAGGAGCCGCTGAATGTGTGGCTGCTTGCTTTGGATTTTACTTCAGATTAGATTTATTAAAACTCAAGTAAATAACAGGATTTGAACTGAATGTAATCATAGAAGTCCATGTGTGATCGATTTTATTGCTGCCCAGCCTTAAGGAATTGGCTTTTTAATGTGAAATAGTCTTTTTACTTTAAAGCAGCTTCTTGCTGTTGCTAATCTCTGACTGAACGGTTCTCAAGTGTGAGTTATTGTGATCTGTCCTTATTTGAAAGTCCTTTTATTTAAACACTACTGTGTGGATGGGAGGATGCAAACACCTGTGTTTTTTTTTTTGTATTTTTATTTTGGTTTGCATTACCTATGGCAGTTAAAATGATGATGGGTTAGCTCCTGCTGATGGCCATCTTGGAGAAACTTCAAGTGATGTTATTTTTCTATGAATAATCTGCCTGTTTTTGGATTTTCCATTCTAAAGAATAAAGTTTTGTGCATTTTGTTTTTTGGCTTTAGCCTTTTGTTACATGGTTTGTAATTTAAGAATAAAGTTTTTCATTTCATCATGCTTAAAATCTAGATTTTGTGATCATTTCTCAAGTATCTAAAGTGGTCCATCTTCCAGTAGCAATTGCAACAGTCAGGATTTTACTGCCTTGAACAAGAAACTGGCACAAGGTTTAGACTGAGTCTAAAAATAAACTCTTATGCTTCTCCTGATGATGAAAATATGCCAAGCTTGTATCTTTACGATAAATGGCTTCAAGAACATTTTCGTCATATTCTTTAGTGAATAATCTCCCGTATAGAGCTCCCTGAACATTTAAAATGATGCATAACTAACATAAAATGCAAATTTGTCTTAAATTAAAAAAAGGAAACCTGTGGGAAATTTAAAAGCCAGATTACCTTTTGTATGATACAATTGTTGAAAAGCATTAATCTTTTATATATAAGCTCCACTAAGTTTAATCGCATTTGCCTCAATGACTGAGCAAACTTCCTGGTGTTGCTGTTGGACTTAAAGTCGATGTGAGGAACCAAAAAACAACACAAACCAAAAGCCTGTCAGGATCAGGGATGCATCAGACCATCAGAAGCTGTTGTGGCTTTCTGGAACAGAAACACGCTGGTTCTGAGGAGATTAAAGGTGTCAGACCCAAATGGGTCCTCTGTTCATCAAAGCTGGAATCTGATTGACCTTTAAGCTCTTCTTACTCTAAATGAAATAAGTCCAAACTTATCCTCATGTCTAACCTGAACAAAGCTTTCCTTAGAACAACACAAAGACTAACAATCAGATTTCATGATTTTTGTTTTTTACACTCTAATTGATAAACTCATAAGTGTCTCTAAGTTATATGCTAATAGCAAATGCTAATCTACTGCTCTCCTTTATCTTAACCTCTCCTGGTTTCCAGCTATAGTTGTTACTCCAACATGGCTCTGATGTATTAGCGCTTCATAACCTCGAAGTTGGGTTCAGTTTGGCTCGTTCCATGTTCTTCAATCTGACTAGTAGAAATCAAGTCGATGCGTTCAGCACCGATCCAACAGAATCCCTGAAAGTTAAAGATGGCGCTGCTCAAACATGCAGAAGGAAGGATGTGATGTCAGACGAATATCAATCATAACTTCTAGATTATGAAATGTCTAATTAATTTCTTTATCTATGTGTGAGGAGGGTACATAAGTGAAACCTAGGCACCAGAAAATACAGATAATGAAGAAAAGACTTTGTTGGTTGTTTTTACTTGTAAATAAAGTACCAAAACTGGTTTCCATCCAAACAATCAGCTGCTGCCCTGCAGTCGGATCGTCCCCTCTGAATAATCTCACCACCTCTAACCCAGGACAGCGCACATCTCAGCTGATCTATCTTATCTAAACAGATTTTATGAGTTATTTATGTTTGGACTTGCTGGCCAGGGCTTGAAGATTAGCCGGAGCGCCCCATACTGTTCCAAACACCTCCTTCTCTGTCTTCAGAGCCTCAGACAGCGGGAGCTCTCTTCCCGCCAGCACTACTTTCTTCACCGCCCGAATCACGGGGACCGATCCTTCGGTGTAGCGACTGAGCCAGTTTTCCGCCTGCTGCCGGGGACTGTCCGCACCCTGGACAGCCTCCAGGGCTCCATCTGCCAGTCCAATGTCCAGGCCCAGTTCAGAGTCCACCTTCAAAGCACCGCCTAGCAGCTTCAGAGCGTTCTGGCTTCCAACAATGCGGACGAGTCGTGCAGCGCCGCCCCAGCCTGGTACCAGACCCATGTGTTTATGGACAAACTGGATCACACTGCCAGAGGTCATTAATCTGTTAGACAGAGATGATAGTCAATAGGTTAGGTTTGGTTAGATAGGTTATCAGAGAACACGTCAAAGAAAAACAAACTAAATCTTCTGTGTTTTAGATTGAGAAGCTCAATTTCCTTTTATTTTACCTTACATATACTGATTTATGAGTGCTCATTTTGCAACTAGTTGCTTTATAAAAGTGTTCACTAATGTAATCTTCAGGTCTAGTAGAGAAAAAAAAGCGATTCTATGTCAATATGAATGACGCTTAAATTGCAACAATTGTTAAAATATCAATTAAATAAAACTGTTAAAATACAAAATAAAATTAGTCCAAGGCATCTATCAGCTGCAGTTTGTATTCCAGTGCAAATCATAGTTTGTCGTAAATTTGTTTTGTATTATGTCTTTTGTAAAGGGACTCTCTACCAAAAAAAAAAGGTTATTATTATAAGGAAAAGGTCCAGCCATCAGTTTGTGACCTTCAGCTCAGAGGTCGTTGGGTTACCCAGAAAAACACACCAGCTGTGGATCAAACCCTAAAAAGCGTTACAGTTTCTAACTATATCTAGTTAAAGTCTGGACTAGATGCTGTTGAATAACTGTTAAACATTTCATGCAGGTAATTTTAATTAATTTTCAAACTACATTAAACATTTATCCTTCATACCATTCAAATATATTTGTGACCAAAAAGCAAAAAAAAAAAACTAAAGAAATCTCTTTGAGGATATGAAGTTTATTAATATAAAAATTCAATCTGTCATATCTAATCAGTTTGTATGTTTGTTAAAAATAAAAACATATGTTTGAAATAAGGTGTGACTCCATTACCTAAAATCACAGGCAGTGGTGAGTTCAGCTCCTCCTCCCAGAGCTCTCCCTTCAACCAGAGCTACGGAGATCAGAGGCAGCCTGCCGAGGAGAACACAAGGTTATTGTGGCTAAAACTAATTATTCCCCTTGAACATTTTTACATGTTATCATTTAAAACCCTTTTTAATTGGGTATTCAAGGAGTTTATGCCACAGGGTTATGTGCAGCATGAATGAGACTTGGAGTACAATGGGCCTAATCTGAGGGCTGATTGTCTTAATGTGACAAAATGTGAAGAAACTTTAAGATTAGTATAAATACTTTTGCCTGGTAAAATATGCTAATGGATTCATTTTTTAGTTTGCAGAAGAACTAAGAGGAAATCTTGAGGGTTTACCTGAGTAGTCTTGTGAGAGCATCCTGCATGAACATACACATTTTCATCCCATCCTACGAGGAAAGAAAGTGTTAATTTAGACGACCAAACAGAGCAGCCATTAATGGAGAGCGATGAAGCAATACCTCGGGGTTGGATATCGCTCGGACAGCGTTAAGGTCGGATCCAGAGCAGAATGTCCCGGCAGCCCCCTGAACAATAAGGCCTTTACCTTCTGTCCAGCTCTCCAACTGGCTCACCCTGTCCTCCAGATCCACCATCATGCTGCCTGACAGGAGGGGAATAAACTCAAAACAGCAGCCTGGACTCCGAAACTATCATCTCCAACAGAACATCCAGAGGTCGTACCAGAGAAAGCGTTCATTCGAGCAGGGTTGTTGACAGTCAGCACAGCGATACCGGAGTCCTGCTTCAGCAGATCGACGGAGCCTCCAGGGAAGGCCTGCAGCTTCTCTCTGATCTCATCATGATGGAAGCCATGGATGCTGGAGTGAATACAACCACGGCTCTGTCTCTGCAGCCTGTAAAGACAGAGCAGCTTCTCTTATTTCTCCTACCAGCAACCTACCAACTCTACCTAACAGGAAGGTTACTCTAAGTAATGAAAAATAAGTTTTACTTCTTCATATACCTTTTCAGATAATTTACACCACTTCTCTGGCTGTATATACCGACAGATTTATTTGGTGGAGGGTTTTGTTTTTGTTTATATTCAGGTGAATTTAGTTGATGTTAACTGGTTACTTTTGTGTGTATTTGGTTGATTCATTTATTGCTGTTTGTCAAAATTTTTCGAAATAATTTACTGTTCATTTAATTTAATTTTAAAGTACAAACTAGATATGTGGGAGGATGTTTTTCAAATCACCAAACTGCAGCTTGTTCCCCCCCCCCCTTTTTTTTTTTTTAAAGGCAACAGTTTTAATGCATACCTTAAGGGCCCTTATGCTTCGTGAGAAATAAAAGATACTACTCGACTTCACAACAAATATAAAAAACAGAACATGCATGTCCTGGATNACCTTGTGGACAGCCTTCCCAGAAGAGTTGAAGCTGTTCTAGCTGCAAAGGGTGGACCGACGTCATATTGAACCCTATGGATTAGGAACGGGATGTCACCTAAGCTCATATGTGAGTCAAGGCAGGTGAGCAAATACTTTTGGCAATATAGTGTATATATATATATATATATACATATATATATTAGCTTCTCTGGTAGTAAGCATTCGGTTTGTGTACATATGTGGGTTAAGATGATGAATTGCTGATTTTATATAAAGTTTTTTACTGAAAGGAATACAATATATGCTGTGTGAAGTTCATTACCTGACCATTAGGGCACAACAGCTGGTGCTCCTCATGAGCTGTCTGTTCAGGAGGCAGAGGACCATCCTGCAGCCAGATGATGAACACGGCGCCAACTACCTCACCACTGCTCACTTTGATGACATGAGTAGAAACAGGTGATACAAACACATTTCCTCTTATTTGGACTCTTTTTCAGCATAGTGTATATGTATTGTAGCTGCAGAGCTCTATAAAAATATCACACAAATTCCCACTTAAAAACATGGTGGTGTCTGCATCATGTTGAGGGGCAGGGAAGCTGGTCGGTGATGATAGGAAGATGAATGTACATAAAAGCTCATTCTGAAGGAATACCTATTGGAGGCTGCAAACACTGTGAAATGGTTAAGATGGAACCATAGTCACGTGTTAAAAAACAAGGGTCTAGTCAAAGTCCAGACTTAAATTCAGGAAAGAAACTAAATCAGGATGTTCACAGAGAATCCTTATCCAATCTGAGTGAGACTGAGAATCTTTTGATCAAACGCAGGCAACAGATGGAGCCAGTAGATGAGCACAGCTGGTGGAAGTGTTTACTTGGGGAGAAAAAAAATGTTAGAAACGGTTCACTTTCCTTTACACATTATTATAATACGGCCATTTAATTAGAAGGGAGTATTTAATTATAAGAGTCAGAGTCTGGACTCTAATAATGATTTAAATTGCTATTAGGATTTTCTTTTCGCTTGCTTGTGTTGTTCAATTATTTTATTTTTATTTATTTATTTATTTTTGTTGTTACAATTACAAACCCAGCTCTGATTTCCAATAAATAAAGTCAGAGCACATCTTCCCACAACATATCTGTGCTCATTGGTGTTCAGCTGTTTTTTGTGTAACAAGTTGATGCTGAAAATAAAAATAAAAGCAATATTAGATGTTAATTTATTGCCAATGTCAAATATTTACTCAACCTAATATGGGTGGTAGACAAAGTGACAGAAAAGTGCGAAAATAATCCCTTATAGAAAGAAAACTTTTAACATTTAATACATTTTAAGGAAAAAATTTGTTCTGAAGTGAACCGAGGAATATTTTAAGACATTAAATATTTTTACATTTTAAAATACACGTATAGGACAGAAAATGTCCACATCTTTATTCCATAATCCACAATTAAACCCACTAATAAATAGGTAATCGGTGTGCCAACCTTGCTACTGTACCTACCCGACAGCCGCGTGGTGTCACCTTTAAATCTGCACCACTAGGAACTAGAGCTACGGAAAAAAAATACCCGCTGAGGCGTTGGTGTGTGTTATTTCTAAAATCTACCACACGATGGCGCCAAAATTCAAGTTTAAATGACTTGACAACAAACGTATATTTTCCTGCTAGAAGAGATCCATTAATGTCTATGGAGGAGATCTGACACAACCCTGGAATTGTCTGCTGAGGCAGCAGCTTAACAAATATTCAGGCTGACTGACGCAGCTCTGGGCTCAATCCTGTCACTGAACTATTCATTTTACACAGTCAATATTAATACAATGTTCTAGGTAACATAATATAAAAGGAAAACAAGTATCATTTTTGTTGAATGTATAAAAAGATTTGGGTTGGGAGTGTTCCATTTCTCAGATAGGGAGAAATAGATTACATATTTTATTATTTTATAACTACAGACTTTATTTTATTGAGAATTTTAAAGAGGATGGACATGTTAATCCAAATATTGTTAACTTTTAAGTAACAATAAAATTATGGTCTTGAAAAAGCTATGAAAGGGGCCTAGTATAGATTATCTTCAGCCTTTGTCCTGTGTCTGGGGGATCAGGGCCTGGGGGGGATGGAATGCTGTCGCTCATGGCTCCAGTTGGGGCCACAGCCCCATGCTCTTGGGGGGCTTCCTTTGTAACCCTCTTGGTGGGGGCCTGGTTGTCTCCACAGTGGTCTTCCTGGTCTCTGGGATGGCTGCTGGAGGACTGGGTCTGAGGTCCTCTCTGCCCCCTTTTTTGGGGAGCAGGGCCGGTAGCGGGGGCTACAGTGCTTCCACAGGTTTTCCCTCAGGTTTGCAGACAATTTATGTCTTCTACAGAAACAGCAGTTGAGTCTAAGTTTTTTGGTCTTTCTTCTCTTTTTTCTTTCTCTTCCCCTGTCCACCTGTCATGTTTGGCATTACTAATCTTACTTCTGTGATAAAAATAAATCTCAAATAAATAATAAAGCAGTACTGGATGATCAAGGCAGGTTTTTCATCCTGACAAGCCTCCCTTGGCAAAGCAAAAGTGTTGGGCAGAGCACGGCACTCATATTCTAATTCTGTTGCCATAATGAACATGACAGGGGAGGGGGAGAAGAAAAAGAAAGTATAGATTATCTTCAAGAGTGATGTTTTTTCTTGCACGATTCAATAAAAGTTCAACTTTAAGAGTTAAAGTCTAACAAATGTCCTGCTAACATATTCTCTCTCCTGAGCTGTGGATTTCTGGTGCTCCTCCAGAGTTACCATGAGCTTCTTGGTCTATAACATAAACAGAGATCAGCTCACCAGGAGCCGATTTAGTGGAAGGTAGTAAAAAGTGTGAAATACTTGAGGATAACAGCACAGAGACCTAAATATCACCAGCTTGCACACTAACATTCTCTGCATGTATGGTAAATAATTACGGTTTTAAAAAAAGTAAGTTAGGTAAGGTTGACATGAACCATACTGCAGCAAAATTACCAGAATGTTCTCTAATGGCAAAAAAGTGAGAAACAAATGGCTGGGAAATGTGTCCCATTTTATGTTTTCTGATCTGATTTATGTCTCCCGAGGGCATAAATCTTTCAACTCCAAACACACTTCCACTACTGCTATTTAGAGTCCTGAGAACCCAAGTGAAAAAAACCACTCACCTCAGTGTTACAACTTTGTGCTTAACTTCTATATATATTTGATACTAAGTTTAGGAAAATACTCTTTTTTTTCTTTTTTTAATTCCTTTAAGACTGCAAATTGAAAATAAAAGATAACCAACATGGTGCCTTTGCATTGTATCCAATCCTGCAAATGAGTGAGGGGTCAACTCTTTGGTCTATTTAAAAGTGTGGAAGGAATTCAGAAAGGTTGGTTGGGATGTTCCCAGACAGACTGTCTCGCTTTCCTGCTCTAGATATTCATCTCAGACAGCTAGCCTGCAACATCTCTATGTATATGCTTCTGTTAGAAGCTGACCTAAGTAGCTTTGTGATATCTGCATGCTGAATATTCTGTGCAACTCACATTAAGGTGGATGAGAAAGACTGGAGAAATGCCTTGTGTCTAACTGCGTGGTTTAGATTTCATTGCTGCCGCTGCAGACTGATAATTCAGCTGCTAATGGAAGCAGGTCTAGACCTACACATGCAAGCACAAATGCTGCCCCAGTGCACCACTGTATGGGACTGAGAGTATACTGTACATGGTCGGTAATGTGATACCCAATGTGTGATCAATAAGCAGCTGTCCTTCATAGGAAGTCTGGGAATGTGTTGCAGTCAGCTGGTTTTTAAAAGCAACCCTGACATGATATGTTTTAAACACACTCAGAATTTAGTTCATTTATCTGGTGCCTAATTACAAACGAAATTTTGACCAGGCACTTTGCATTGATGAAAATTCTAATATGAATTAGTTTACATTTTAAACATTCAAAAATGTTTCTGCAGGCAAACCGTGAGATTGGTAGAAACATGGTTTTGGTCTAAATGTTACCCTGGTAAGCACAAGGCAACATTGGAAAACGATAACACCATGGGCGTAGGTTTGCATAGGGACCATAGGGACATGTCCCTTCCAACATTTTGGCCCGACCTATTTGTCCCTACCAATAATTATATGTGAATAACATGTTTATAATTTACAATACAGTTTTGTTGCAGCAGTCGCTTCTTTTCTCATAACTTGTATATTGAAGTTAATAATTTAAATGCTCAGTGTCAGTTCCTCTTATAGTTCCTGCGCTCATCTAAATACAATAAATCTATTTTCAGTCTCTTGAATATGTTTTTTTTTTTTTTTTTTTACAATACAGAGAATATCAGCATATCAAATAAAAATAATAAAAGTGTTTTACCTCTGTTTACCTCTGCACAATTCTATTTCTTCAAAAGAAAACACATACAGTACAACAGACATATATAGACTATATTTGGTTAAAAAGGCACATATTCACCTTCCGTCTTAGTCACTGGTAAGTTCAAATGTAACCCTTTTCAAAGTGTTAAGTTGTCCCAATTTTACATTATTCTGAGCCACTGATGCTTCAAACATTGATCAACAGCATCTTTTGTGTGTAGTGCTGATAAAATTTGTGTATGTATTGTATTCTATATTTGTATGTGATGCTCACATTAAGCATAAATAAAAATAGGAGCATGCATAATGAGTAGGACCAATTACATCAGACCAATTCAACTTAAGACCAATAGTGACCCTACCAAAGTGGAGATCAAACCTACGCCCTTGGATAACAACTGAAAATACTGAGAAGCCTTCAGCAGAAAAGTGCGGATTACGAGGAGCTACCTTCCCTGATTAGGTGGGGGCTTAGAGGACAGAAAAAGGGACATAGAAAAAGAGAAAGACAATAAGTTAGTGACAGTAATGGTCCACAGTACGGTCAAGGGGAAATAAGACATGGGACTGTCCTGCAGTCAAGACTCGTTAAGTTACTAAAATGCGTTATTCATCAACATGGAACTTTAAATTCACAACATTAAAAAGAAAAAAGAACCACTCAAAGTCAATCTCATGTAAGAAATGTAACATCTGAATATTCACTATAGGGCTTAAAAAAAATCTTTGTCCTCACCTCATCACCTTAGGTATAACAGTTTTATTTCTCACCTGATCGAATGGGGGGAAAGGTGATTGTATCAATACCCCTAGAGTTATTTAAAGGGAAACATCCAAGCTCCAAATGTATTTTATACACTCAGAATTTGTCTGGCTTTTTATAAAAAAAAAAAAAATGATTTTCCTACTAGATACTGCATCCACACAATCCTTTGCGGTTGTAATTTTTCCCACATGATCTTACATTGATGACTGTGGTTCAGTTTAACCTGAATCTCTATCAGGAGTTTCAGATTAAACATGTGAAAATGATGATTAACAGTTGTTTTTGCTTTTTTCCTTTGGACCATCATGCACTAATCTCCTGGTATAGAGGGTTTGTTTTGGCTCTGTGGGAGGAGCACAGATTTTGCTGTCAGAAATGGGCTACAGATATGTGTGTAAATGTATGAACACTTGCTGGGTGAATGGAACTCAGAGTAAAAGTGCTTTGAGTGGTTGGTAAAAATGATTTAGAAAATAAAAGGCTTTTCATTAGACTATCGTAAAGTTTGAATCATTTTTTGTCTTAGCAAGCAGGTGCATTATGAATACCTTTGGACTTAAACCTAGCGGCTAGGTTAAACAGTTACTCTGATGATATTTGTTCCTGGAAACCTCATTGATCCTGCCTGCTGCAGAGCTGATATGATTTTAACGGAAATCAAATTAATTTCTATAAAAAACAGAAAAGCAGTCAATCTAAACTATTAGAGGCAAAAATTGTAAAAATAGTAAATCCAAAGAATTATGAGGGAAATATTTCTTATCCGGTAAACCCATTAAAGCCCTCTGTTCTGATAGTGACAGATAATAAGTCCCTTTGGTCATTATATCACAATTTTAAATTTGATCTAAAGAGCTTGATATGATTTTTTAAATAAATTAGGGGAGTCACGATACAGCTTTTTCATTTCCGATATGATACCAATATTGCAGCTTGAGATTTGACCGATACCGATAATGATCCTATTTGATGTTAGCATGTATCATACATGCTTTTATTACCTGTTTTGTACTGTATAATTTTAGAAAATGTTTGATCAAGTGATATTAGTAAAACGGCGAAGAAAAATCAACAAGAAAAGGTGTGAGGACAACTGACCCATGTAATATAAACCAACAGGTTAGAGAAACAGAAGCAGAGCGTTTCCATCAGCAAGTAAATAACAGATATTTTAGATTCAGGCCAATATAATGCAATATCATTTTTTTCCTAAATCAGATTGATCATTCAGATCAATATCAGATTGGGACATCCTTGAAATAAATACTGTTAATTCTGTATGCGGGCTACACAGTGTAACAGTGTGTAGGACTGCTGAAGGCCCAGGAGTTTGCACGTTCTCCCTGTGCATGTGTGGGTTATCTTCCTCCCACAGTCCAAAAACATGACTGTTAAGTGTGTTTGTTAATGGTTGTTTGTCCTGTTTGCCTCTGTGTTGCCCTGCTATGGACTGGCGATCTGTCCAGGGTGTACCCCACCTCTCGCCAGTAGACAGCTGGAGATAGGCACCAGCACCCCTCACGACCCTGCTTGAGATAAGCGCGACAGAAAATGAAAGGAATTCTGTATGCAATGGGTCTTACAATATTTATCTCTAAAGTTGCTGATTTTTCTTTGGCAAGGGGAATGGTTGGGGACTTCCGCGATTCAAAAATGGAACTTGTTTGGGGAAGAAGTGAAAAAAATCTAGTAAAAAACACATTTAACCTAAGCGCCATGAGTTAGAACATGGATCACATGAAGCAGTCCAACTCCTTTCACAAGCCGCTTTATGGAGCTCACCTTTTCAATCTTTTGTTTAACACCAATGCATTCTAGTTATCAGACACCAGACATCATCATTGCTGTGTCTCCCTTTACGGACTCAGCTACTGATTTCTTTTTTGCAGGAGGTTTGTGAAACCATATCACAACTTTATAATCAAGCTCACTGTACTCAAATGGCATAGACACCACATGTCAATGGACAGAGCATCTCTGAGCTGCAGCTGAGCAGATTATCGATGTGCAGAAGGAAAGTCTGCTGTGCCAGTGTGATACTGTTGTCATTAAACACCAAAGAGTTTCAGATACCTGTTTAATTTTATGTTACTAGTATTTAAAGTGATTTTAAAGGCAAAAAAAATTCCTAATTAGTACTAGCAGCAAGTTATACCTTGTAGTATAGCTGTTAATATAAGCTTTATTAACCATAGTCACCATATATTCTATTTTAGAGGAAAAAGATTGAAGGCACCAGATGTCCTCAGTGAATCTGCACGGAGGTTCCTGGTCAGAAAAGCTGTGAGGATCAGAGGGAATTGGAGCACAATGACCTCAGCAAAAACTGGAAAACAAATCATCCTTTACTGGATGTCGCTACTTCCAACAGTGGGCTGCTGTCTTCGTCATGCAGCAGGAGAAAAACACAGTGCTCTGCAGTAAGCTCATCAGTTTGTTTGCATCAAGATGAATCCTGTGCATGCATGAAACTCTCTGTAACACCGTTACATGTTAAAAAGAAAAAAAAACTTAACTCAGTAAGCATATGGGAGGAGGATTTAGCCAACTGTCCTGAACAAATTTGAAATCTTACATCTAGTATAATCTGATACTGTGATCAGTTTGGCAAACAGGGAAAGTGAAGCTGTCATTTCCACAATAGCAAAATGATTTTGCAGTAGTTTTTTTTTTTTCTTCTAGGTTGGTGTCTCTATTATACAGCACTGAGACTCTGCTGAGCTGATTAAACACAGATCTCTGCAGAAATTCTTTCCAGTGCCGTCCTTTTAACCAGCTCTGAACCAGAGAGCATTAGTTACACGATTGCTTCACCATGTGTAGAACTCCAGACACCAGCAAGTCTTTACTGGGAATGCATCTTCTTTCCCAACTTTGACACAGAAAAGCAGGATTAGAGTGGGACCAGAGTCAGGGAAGGCTTTAGGAGAGAATGAAAATATTTATATATCTATCAGCAGAGGGGTAAGATTTCTGGCACCATAACACTGTCACACCTGCTATTTCCATCAGGAACCGGTGGCAGGTTTCAGGGTGAGGAGGGAGGGGGTCTGTCCCACTTAGAGCAGCGTGTCTCCTGTTTATCAACAGTGAGTAAATAAGCCTGGATATATGGGATAATGAAAACAAGATAGATAGATAGATAGATAGATAGATAGATAGATAGATAGATAGATAGATAGATAGATAGATAGATAGATAGATAGATAGATAGATGATTATCTATGCAAACTATGAGATGAGTTGCAAAGCTTAGAAGTGAGGCAGGATTGCACCTCTGCACAGAGAGTTAGCATAGCCTGTAGAGCACAAGTGATGTTAGTGATTAACACCAGGCTATTGACTATTACAATTTAAAAAGCACTTAGGTGCTCTGTAGTGCAATACAACAACATGGCAAGAAGATGAAAAAACTTAGCATCTTTTCCGAGGACAAATAACTTCTTTACATGCTCTACATTGTTGCAGCAATACCTCACGTTTACTGTGGGATTTTATTTGACACAAAGTGCCTAATTGTGCAAAAAGTGGAATGGATAGACAAGTTTTAAATATTTAACCATTGATAAACCGATATAGAACCTGGCGTCTTTAGATATCACCCAAGCAGTTAAGAGAGTCCAGCTGTGTGTGATTTGGGGTCAATACAAAAGCAACTTTTCGGTGAAGGCCTCTGAGGTTTGAGAACATTAGAGAAAAAGCAGCTTCATGAAGGACGAGGGACACATCAGACATCTGGGAAAACGGCTACGAAGGCGGCGCTCAGAACAGACGAGACCAAAATGGATCCTTTTAGCCATCAAATGATGCAGTGTTAGAAAATCTGCTCCAGGTAACATCATGCTGCAATGGGTGATTTCTTTTCAGAATGATTAAGGGGTCAGATTTTGGCCTGTATTCCCTCAGATTAAGCCATGCTTGAGGGAAGCAAAGTGGCAAGAGGAAGGAGAAGATTAGAGACACAGTGTTGACCTTCCACAGGTCTACCATAGCTTCAAGTAGTTTAAAAGCATACCCATGTATTAGAACGGCGGTTTGAGCAATTTAGGGCAGAATAACAGGGAAACATTTCCGTCTCTAGGTGTGTAAATCTGTTAGAGATAGAGAAGCTTGGTGTTATAACTGCAAAACAAGGAAGCCTACACTGAATCAGGGAAGTTCAAAACAAATTCAAGCCACACTTTTCAGATCTCAGTCTGTTGCATACCTCTCATGAAAATCTAGATGAATGAAAAGAAATGTTGCAAAATTTCAAGGGGATAAACACTTTGCAACAGTTGAGACATTTTTTGGAATCTTGTGTTTATTGTAAAAAAAAAAAAAAAAAAATCAACAGCAAAGGCATTGTGTCTCACTGCCTATCAGCCATAAAAAACGCCACTTAGCCTGGTAGCGTCCTGATAGATGAGCATTTAGTTAAAAAAGGGATTCCTATCTCTTTTCATGAGCAAGTGCTATGCTAGATAACGTTATCTACGGCAGAAAAGAGAATGTTATTTTAAACAATACACTTAACAATACGCAGAAGACAGCCTTTGGTACAGGTGTAAAAAAAGTCACATTTTTATGCAGCTGTTCTTTGTGTAGCAATAATAAATGAAAAGTCAAACTTTAATGAAAAACAACATTTTCTGGTCACAGTCAAGGTACAGCCCAGTCATAAACTCACTGCAGGATACTTTACTGTTGGGAAATTATTCAGATAAATCTCTGCATCATTGCAACAGATTCAAACAGAAACTAGAATCAGTCCATAGAGGAGAGACGTTAGTAAAAGGCTGTTATATGTAGATTTATAAAGTCATACTAGTCAAAGCTGGAATCCAGACCTGAGCAGATTATTCCTTTAGATGGTTGGAAAAGCTTGGAGTCATTTCTAACATGTATGGATGCTGTCATCATTATAGTCCTGTCAGCTGTTTGGATCAATGATCTTGATCAGGTATGTTCCACAGGATTTCATGAACTCACTTAGTGGATTAATACATTCTGAGTAAATTCTGAGTCTTTAGTAAAGAATATGGTTAACACAACAGAAAGAATGGTTAAAGAGTTCAGAGTTTGTCCGTAAAGGCTTCTGGTTGGTTCCAAAACATCATGGAGTTTCAAATGATGACCGTCTCTATGTGAAAGCCATGAGTGTACGTAAAGGTGGAAGAGTGTTTCTGGAGGGGGAAGGAGGTGGGTATGACAGGGGTGGTGCATGGAGAGGATGGGGGAGAGGAGGACGACGTGGGGGAGCGGCTGGCCCATCTGGAGGGGAGGCGTCGGTTGGCAGGACGGGCGGGCCTTGAAAAGTTCTTGTGGATGGAGGGGGGGCTGACCGAGGGCTCTTCATCCTCCTGTGGGGAGACAGAAGAATGAACATGAAGGATTTTTCTAACTGTTCTATCTGCATCCAGGCTGGCACGCTCAGATACTTAACATTGTGTCACGTGTCCCCCTCTGTTGTCTTCTTGAGCCTGGGGAAAATATTTCAAACAGGAACTCTAAACACATCAGCACGCTCCTGTGAAAAGGTCACACAAGTAGCTCGGATTGATTTGGGCCCAGAGGAAAAGCATTTGAAGTCAGTTAGCTCACATGTGAGGCACTTCTTCCATTCTTCGCCAACTCTTTTAATCTCTGACAGCAGAGCTAATGTGGACCTCCCTACTGCGCTCTTTTCATGACTTTCCCAAAACTGCCTTCATAATGACTCCCACAACATCTTTAAGATCAGCTTGACTTTAAAGCTGCGTAATTACTTCAGCGTTCTCATTTCTGTGGTCTGCCAAGGCCAGTTAGTCAGTCAGATTCTTGCAGTAATCACAACACAATGGTTTAGAAAAACAGTGCGTCCTTCCAGAAGGATGAAGAGACTGACGGTGGGCTGGTAGAGGCTACAGCCCCCCTGCCTAGTTCTCCTTAGGAGCCTTTAGGCAGTGGAGTGGCCCAGAAGCCCAGATTATAACGGAGGCTCTGGCCTGCTTTTGTCTATTAGCACATACCAGAAATAAACAACATTCCCACCAGGGCTGGCCTCCGTCAAGGGCAATTACTTACTGTTTAACAATGTGTTGGAAAAGAAACATCATCCAGGTCCACTGAAACAGCAAGCTATCAAAATACAGTTTGAATAACCAGCTTATATTAATTTCCCAAACCAACTTCTCTCTAATCCAGCATAAAATTGTGACCACTACCAAGAGTGTTGGTCACATGAGGCAGCAGGTGAAACCTTTTTTTTCTTTTAAACTGACGTGTTAGAAGCAGATCATGTTTGAAAGTGGGTCCAAAATGTGATGGTTGACGATTGGATCAGAGCCGTTTCAAAACTACAGCTCTTGTCTGCAGGGGTCAGAACTAGGGCTGAAACAATTAATCGAATTAATCAACTATTGAAATAATTATTGATAAATTTAGTAATCGATTAATCGTTAACTGGAGCTTAAAGACTCTAAAACATGCCTTTAGCCGACAGATCTACCCACCTTGAGCAGCAAATATACCTCAATTGTAAAAAAAGATATAAAATGTAAATATTTTGCGTTTAAGATGAAAATAATTTTCTTCTGTCAATTGGCTCTATCCAGAACTCCTCAAATGGTAAAGTTTTAGTTTCTCCTTGTTTAATTTTGCAAGCTTAAATAAGAGCATTACTTATGACTTCACACTAAAACAACCACCTACTATGTGGCTAATGGCTTTTATGTAAGATTGCATGGCATGATTACTTTTTTTTTAGTCTTTACAGAACTAGTGGCAATTTTTTTTTAAACAGTACGCTGACAGGAAAGGGGGAATGAGAGAGGGGGAGGGACATGCGGGAAAGGACCACGGGTCAGATTCGGACCTGGGGCGTCAGTGTCAAGGACTAAGGCCTCCGTACATGGGTCGTGCGCACTAACCACTGCACCTCCAAAGCACGCCTGGATGAAAGGATTAATATCCTTTAGTATGAAATTGGAACAAGTGCACTTTGACCTGTACACCTAGAAGATCTAAAGGTTTTATATCTGAATCCAGGCTTAGCCAGAGTCCACTCACCTGCACTTTAAGCTGCACCTCCTTGACCCTCTGGAGGCTGTGAGCCTGAGGGGTGGGTGATGCTTGCATGACTCTCAGAGTGGGGCTTGAAGGCAGAGGGGCCATGTCCAGCATGTCCAGTTCTGTAGGCTTAGAAACCATCTCATCCTGTTGTGCTAGTGCCGCACTCTCGTAATTTTTCAGAATCCTTTCCACCGCACCATAGTTGGATCTAGAACCCTCTGGTCGAGGGTATGCAGCAAGGGTGAGGGGCTTCCAGGGATGCTCATTCATGATTCGAGCAAGCGGTCTGGAGGAGTCGGTCTGGAAAGGAGAGCCAGATCTTTGTCTTGGTTGGGCCACCTGTCTCTTCTTGCTCTCAGCAGCCAGCTGAAGTGGTGAGGCGCTGGTTCTGGCAGTCTGAGGTTTGGCTTCATGGGGATTCTCCCTCTTAGAGTTTGAACTCTCCACGGATTCATCTGACTGGGTGTTTGCAGAAAAAGTTGGCTCATGGGTTGCTCTTTGTTGGGATTTCCTGGAAAAGCTGCCTGTTTTTCGCAGTTTGTGCTTGACCTCGGTCTGCTGTTCAGAAATCAGAGAGGGTTGTTTAGCCTCTCTGAGCCCAGTCTGCGGCTCTTCCAGTGAGAGGGCAGGAATTGTTTCTGGCTTCATCCTGACCTCTTGAACTTTAGGAGCACAACTCAATGGCATTGGCTTCTCTTCAGGGGTCTGTATGCTCGGATTCAAGATAGAGGGAGATAATGAAACTTTAGGATATGAATCTGTGACGTTAGTGAAAACATCTGAAGAAGTGGATGGAGATGTAGCATCTTCAGGGGGTAATAAAGGACCTGATATTGCGAGGACTTCAGAACGGGTCTCCGATCCTGCATAACAGTCTGCATCGCGGCCCATCTCTGCCTGGAACAAAGTTCTGTTGAACTCAGCTGTTTTTCGTTCTAGCATCAGGTTTCTTCTCGAGCCCTGGAGGCTGGGACCAGTAGCTGGTATTTCTTTAGAGTCTGAATCCACAGGGAATTCCTGGATAACTGGAAACATATTCAGCTTTCCAGCATCAGGGTTTTTCTCTGGGCACAGATCTTTCCCAGCAGTCACTATGTTGACCTCAGAGAAGCTTTTCTGGACTGTCCCATACGTCGAAAGTTTGTTGCGAGTCAACTTGCCTGCATCACATGACCAGCGATTGTGGCAGCAGCCTGTGTTACAGTTGGAGTTTGAAGGTACAGAACATGATGTTATTACGCCGTCTTTAAAAACTTTTCCCTCGTTTTCCTGAAGCATAGCCTCAAACTTCCTGACAATGGATGGGCTGTTACACTTCCTGTCCAACAGAACACAGGGGCTATGGCACGTCTTCATCGTGGCCATAGGGGACTCTGGGATGTGGAGTTCTGTGTCTGGATTCGAGGAGCTGAGATTCCAGGAGGAAGTGCGAGGAGGAATGGGTGGAGCCTCTGTCTCCATGTCTGAGTTCTCTTCAGAATGGGTCTCTGCGCCTCTGTAGTGATACGAATCAGCAGGGTTTGCAATCCATATGTCAGCTGAACTTCTGTCAGCTCTCCATGTGGTTTCTGGTGACAACTTGATCCAGTTCTCTTGCTGCAGAGCCTTGAGGTCATCATAGATCTGGCCAAGGTCACAAGGAGCCTCTTCCACCTGCAGGAAGCCTGTTCCATGTCGCTCCGATGGACACAGGGATTCCCATTGGTTCCTAGACAAAGGAAGACATTTAGTTTAGCCCATCGCTATGGTACTACCTAATTTGCCTCTTTCCCGAAAAGATGCCAAGTTTTTATACAGATGTCCTATAAGCTGGTTCCATACTCTGAAGTGGCTGAGAGCTCAGTTCAGAAAAGTATAAATACAAAAGTTTTGTGATGGATTTACAACAATAGTTAAAGCTATAGTGTGTAATAATTACAGCGATTCACTAATAGAAAGAAAATATATATTTTACACAATCATGTAATTTATTATCATTTAAAAACTGAAAGTCTCAATCTTTATGTTTTTGTTAGAAATTGCTTTTTATCATTACATAGTAGTGGTTTGTGCAGGTAGGGAGGTTAGTGACATTAGTGACATCAGACATTAGTGGTACGGCAGTGCAGAGCTGACAAAATAAAGATCACGAAAATCTATATTCTGCACAGACTAATAAAATATTTTTTATAAAACTATATATGTATACTAGATTTGAACTGGCAACCGGCTGGTCACGCATTGGTTGCTGCACGCGCATCTTTCTACCGTAATTGGTCTGTTTTTCTTTTTTGTTTTTTTTGGTCAGAATGCCCAGAACAGTGGAAAGAATCACCCGGACAACAGAGGTAAGGTGAGATAGGGTTCTGTATCTCAGACAGGAGCAGCAGGAAATCAGTACGAAAACATCATTAGAGTATCTCTAATTTAAAACAAACCTCATCACTTAATAAGATAGGTAATGGGGCCGCTGCAGAAGCCATTTTGTACTATGATGGCCTTTGTATTGTTGTAGGTGGAGAAGCAGTGGGGGGAACGGGTTCATGTAGCTGCAGTCTGACCATTAAACACACTGTAGCCTTTAACTCCAACGGAAATGCATTTGGATGATGCTAGTCAAACTTGGACTAAAGCCTCCAATAAATAACAAAAAAACACAAACAGCTGAAGCTCTCCATTATAAAACCTAAACCATACAAAGGTCCATATATTTGCATGTGTGAAAAATCAAGCAAATATGTATTTTTCTTAATTACCCTGACATGTTCCATGCTTGGATGTCACTCAAAGGATTGTGGGAAGATTATAGCTCCATAATTGGTAGGGGACGCTGCAAGCTTGCCATGCTAAAGGAACTATGCTAGGAAGCATCATGGAAGGAAGCACCTCTTCCTGCTTCCTTCCTACCTTCTTCCACTTATCATGGACCCGACTGACACACTCATCACTTTGTCTAGGGTCTTTGGAAGTGGCCATCAATGAGCTATATGTACTGTAAACTTCTAATTCTAAGAGTTTAAAATATGAATTAATCTATAAATATAATTAGTTTTTTCTACAGAGTGTATATTTTTATACATACATTTTCCCAAATTTTATAGAAATCCTGGAGTAATGAAAAAAAAATTTGCCTTTATAAAATACTGAATCAGATGTATGAAAGTAAATGTTAGCTGAGCCTCATCAGATATGGGTTGTCATGGAAATAAACTCACCTCTGATCTCCACTCTTTTTTCGGATCTCATCCTGGTAGCTGCAGAGCTCCTCACTAACACGGGCTATTTCTTTGAGAGCCTGAAAAACAAAGATGTGACACAAAGAAAGAAGGAAATAGTCGGCTGGTATTAACTGACATCATTTTCCAGTTATACTCACAGCATTAAGAGCAGTAGTGTTCTTTCTCTTGTCACTGCCATAACTCATCCCTGTCCACAGACAGTCTTCTGAAGGAACTTGATGGACATTTTTCTCCCTCCCTACAGAAACGTAATCCTGTGGCGGCCCAAACCCAGAAGCTCCACGATAAAAGTCCTCCAGCTCTGTTTCCACAACTGTTTTAGTATCACCTGATGGGTTTTGCTTCCATGTTTCTTTGGATATTGGATCAACCAAAGGTTCGGGTTGTAAGGGGCCACTCGGACTGAACTGTGCCCCCACATTTAATCCAAACAGGTTGTCGGCTTGTAAGCAGGCACCACCGTCAGTGCTGATGCTCCTGTTGAGACCAGGTGTGGGTGATGGCGGGTTTCTGGTTGGTTCTGACTGAGTGCTGCTGCTGAGCAGCTCGGACCGGGAGTGGTCACTGAGCAGGCTGGAGCCCGTGCTGGTCGAACGCACGCTGAGTCTGTGCCCCGAGTTGTCATTCTGCCTAATGCTGTCCAGGGCCGCTCCCCCTCTGGTGGACCTCACCTCACAGCACAACTGGAAGGACAAAGAAGAATGTATTAAAATTAGGCAATAAAAAAAAAAAAAAAAAAAGAGACCATTCCTTTTTTGGAAGGAATCCCGCATTTTAACTGAATTAGCCTTGTCTGGGTTTATTTCTTTTTCAACTCTTCTTCTATTTTTACCACTAAAAGTACACCCCATGGGACCAGAACCTGCCAGGCTGACTGCTGACTACCTCTGAAAATCCAGATATCAACATGAAGAAGCTCCTATGCCCCAAACCTCGGCCTCAGAGGAGAAAGCATTACTGACGTGGCTTGATCTTGATCAGCAACTAATGATGGGCATAGATTACTGGGTCATAGGTGTGCATACTGCTGCACATTTTCACACAAACGATTTTAATTTAACTGACAGTGATCAATCCACTGCTGACAGCTCACAGTTGGAACTTTAGTTTAGCAAGATAAATTAAAATCATTATAAATTATTTTAAAGTCATAAATACATTTTGCAAGTTTGATTTTTATATAACGATCCCTGAGAACAATGCTCCAAGTTCAAGGCTTGGTTAGCCCACACTTGGTTAGCCCACACAGACAAAGCTAAAGACAAAAGCAGCATGAATGTCGTCAGCTTTCATTCTTTCTGATTAAGTATATTGTTTTGACAGCTGATGCTGAAGCAATGTTGAAGATTTGTTAGACACTGCAAACATTTTAAAGTAAATTTTTAGTAGTTTCTTTCTTTAAAGAGGCCTTATAGAGTTTTCCAGTTATACCGCCACCGGTGGTCAAAATACCAAACTGCAGCACTCTTCTGCTAATTCTCGTAGCTTACGCTCATACTTGACAAGTTTGTTTTTTTTACTTTTTTCACCTTACCTGGAGTTGCCACTGGTGTCTGAGTTTAGTTGGATGCTGGTCGCTTCTTAGTGTCCAATAAATCTTGAATCTCTTGAATTTAATGCTTTGATTGTTTGCAAGGTTGGACCCATTGAATATAAATGCCATTGCAGTCACATCCACTGAACTGCAGGGGAACTTCCGACTCAAAGTAAATTCAAGAAAAATAGGCTACAGGTTTATAGATGCATCAGGGCTGAACTACTAAGGTGTCAGTCTGCTCATCAAACTATATGTTTAAGTCATAAAGGGTCAAATAAAAAGGCTGTTTTAAAGCAATTTTTTCAGTAAAAACTTTCATAAGTTCAAAGAATCTCACCTCTTCTATTTTCTTCTGCATGTCCTTCAGCTGGCACTCCCACTCTCTCCTCTCCACATCAAACCTCTCCAGCAGCTCAGCCTTCTCCCTCAACCAGTCCCTCTCGTTGTGATCCAGGCGACAGCGCAGGTCCATGGCTGCTGAGTGGGTGTCAGCCAGGATCCTCCGCTGCTCTTCCCTTTCCCTGAGGAATGTGGAGGTGTCGCTGTTCGATTTGCGGGCACTCGATGTCACCGATCCAAGACCTGAAGCTGATTGGAGGCCTCCACCCACTAATCCTGTAGCTTCTCTAGCTTCCAGCTTAGAGAAGAGAAGGGCAGAGGGGAAAAAAGGAGAATAGGACGGAGATGAAGAGGAGAAGGTGGTTAAGACAGGACGGAGAATAGTGGTAACAAATGAGGTATCGCAGTTTGGAGCAAAAAGATGAGTGCCAGATGACAAGGCATGCAGAACAGAGGTGGGAGAAACAGTTGAAAAGTGGAATTGGAAGAATGAAGGAGCGGCAGAAAGGCAGGAAGAGAAGGTGGAGAAATCATACCACGGGGACAAGTGTGAATGGGTTTACAGGAGGGAAGAGGGAGACAGATTGAACATTGAAAATATCCTGTTAGAACTCACACAGATGGCTCAGGGATGCAAAGTTCAAGTATCTTTTCTACGGTGCTTTAGCACCGGATACAGGGAAGGAAATGGTAGATTTAGGCAGATCACACTAAGTCTGCAGATGTGACCTAATTTAAGCTACTGCTTTCAAGAGAAACAACAATGCATGATACAAATATTATCTCTGTGCAAATTAAGGGGAAATGTCTCATTGCTTCCAAAGCTAACATGAACCTACATGAGCTAAGTTTAATAAATATTTTTTCTCTAAATATACCTTATATCACCCTACTTTAATATTTGTTGTCAGTCAAACTATCTGAGATTTTCCACTGGGATTTTCTTTTCAGTATCACTGTCTCTGCTGCTGAAAAACATCCCCACAGCATGATGCTGCCACTGCCTTTCCCCACAGGGGTGGTGCGTTCCAGGTGATAAATCCACATTTATCAGAGTAAATGGGCCAGAATATTTACACATTTTTTTATTTGTAAAAACAATAAGAGAAGAACCATTTTTTTTTCCATCCATCTCCGCCACTGTGCACCAGTTTGTGATAGCCTCTCTCGTATAATAGCAATAAAATAAAACATTAGGTTTTATGATTTTAACATAGAAGTATTAAAGATTGAAGGAGCATGAATACCTTTGCCAGACACTCTATATAAAAAAAAACACCAACCTAAATCTCTTATAAACTGAAGAATGTTTGGAAAACCCCTTTTAAATAGTTTTCTGTAAATAAGCCAAATTTAAATCATCATTTTAAAGACCTGAAATAAAAGTCTTTCAATACACACTCTACATTTGGTGGTACGTATGTTTTGGTGTTTTTAAAAATTAGAAGAATGTCGGTTTTGGAGCTGGAAGAAAGCCCAAGACAACGCCTCTCTATGTAAATGTATCTCCTTACTCTCTCTCTGTTAGGAAGCGTGTCTACAGCTTGTGCGTACGAGCCTGCTGGGGCGCGATATTTCTGTGTGCCGCCACAGACACCGACCAAAAGCCTTTCTCCAAGCTGCTATTTCTGACTGTGGGCTAGGGTCAAGAAATTATGGTGCAGAAAAAACAAGTCCACTTTTTCTGTCTGCCTGCGGCTTTTCTCAGAGGTCTCCACAATTAGAGACGGATGATGACGGCTGCTGTCCGCAGGCTATTTCAACTTTTGAAATGTAAACATGGCTCAGAATTCAAAAACAAGATGCTTGGACTTGCATCAAAGAAACAATCAAAGTTTTGAGTGAATGAAACAGGAAAGCTGATTGGTCCCTTGAAAACGTCCAAGGGACACATTCTTAAAATCCCATCAAGCTCCAAAGGACACACTCAGGTGTTTACGCATTAACACATTATATTCAGTCAGCCTAAAATGCAACCTCTGCCCACTCAAATCCCACTGTGTGCCACAGGGTTTATAAAGGTAACTATGTCACCAGGGTGACCCACTATAAATAGCGGACACCCGGCGCTGTACAATGTCACATTCTGAGGGGAGGTAAAGGGAGGAAGGGGAGCTGACTGCTAAGACGGAATGAGAGGTCTCCTAGCTGCCAGCAGCATTCATAAATCAGAGTCACGAGGAGAAATATGCCTGGAAACACTGGGCCTGAGTCCAACTTGGATGCTTTCTTTGTATTTAGTGGTGGAGGTGTCCACAAAGGAATCAATGTATTCAAATTCAGCCTGCATGTAATGTGGTAAACAGTGTTAGCTACAGCTGATCCAAGTGATAAAGTGATATATAACTGCTGGACTTTTCACTGTTACACTGTTTGGATACCATTTTGATTAAAGCTGGGATAAGAAAAACTCAAATTCCACCTAAAGTGACTGTGATGTTTCTAACCTTCCCACCACTTTTAGCCTTCAAAGTTAAATAAAGGGGGAGCAAAGTAAGCAGGCCAGAATACAAACAAGGTCATTAGAGAAAATTGTTCAAAGGAGCTGAATGGGTCTGCCCATTCTGCATGACTCAGTTGATTGCACTAAAGGGTGGCACTTTAACTGAACCAAACACAATTTCCCACTATTACTTCATAAAGCAGTATTATTCTGGATGGTCATAACCACAATCAGTGTTAACAACCCAACTGCCCTGATGATAGCACATTAGCTGTTCAACACTGTTGCTTATCAGCCCACTAAAGCTAAATACGGACTCTCCATTTTCCTGGTGCGGTTACACCAACATGTGAAAATTACAGGTTATTGCATCTTAAGATGATGTTTTTATTATTCCAAGAGTTTTGCTTAATTTATTTTTCTCTTTTCATCTATTCTGAATTCTTTAATGAAAGCAAAGCCATTGCTTCTGGGCAAATGCCTTACAAACTATTCAGGTACTTAAGATGATATCAGCAAAGGGTTCAACAGTTTTTTCTAGCTTTCTGCTCAGATTTACAGCAGCATTAGTCTGCGAGCAGAGACAGAGAAGTCCCTGTAAAACGGCATTATACCATTTTACAAAAAAAGATTGACTCATAACAGCACAGATAGCATTCAAGACTTTAGAATTTCTGTTTTAGTAATTAGCTCAGTTAGCTGCAAGACTTTAAACAGTGCTCTCTAAACATTAAAGAACTTCCTGTAGCTGAAAACCTTTCGGCCTTCCTGTTGTCTGCTAAAAGTGTAATTCTCTTTCGACCTGATATAAGGTAGAAAAAACCTTCTCCTTTCAAATGGCGGTTTAATCTTGCAACTTTCTCTCAATCCTTTCCAAACACTTAACTGCCACACAAAAAAGCTAATATTAAGTAGAGATGTCCCGATCCAGGTTTTTGCACTTCCGATCCGATATCGATATTGTTTTTGGACTTCCGATCCGATACCGATACTGGCCGATACCAGCATATCCGAGCATGTATTTAAGTTTAAGTTAAAGTATTTAGCCTTAGTTGTAAAACTCATGTTGAAAAGGGTTTTAGTACTCTTGATAACATCTAGCCAGCTGAATTAGGTGAGATTGAATAAAACACAATGATTGGTAACAACAAACTTTCCTGTTTATTAAGAGATAAACACAAACTGGACAAAATTATGAATAGCAATCTGAAATTGCACAGTGAACATTAAAACCGTAAACAGTTAAAGGTGCAAGTATTACTGTAAGTTTTAATAAAAATGCAAAACAGGGAAACACTGGCGCAAAATAGTGGAATGGATCGTTTCAATCGGCGAAACTGGAAAATACGGACCGGAATTTTAAAAAAAAAACTGGATCGGCAGTCTGGATCGGCATTTTACATGCTTTGCCGATACGCATTTTTTTGCCAATATCGGCGTCCCGATCCGATCCACGTATCGGATCGGGACAAGCCTAATATTAAGAGAATCATGCATTTGTGTTAGTAGGGGGGATAGAATGAAAACAGATTAGAAATTGGAATTAGGAGTAATAGAGTAAAAATTGTTCCAGTTCATTCTGCATATCTACACAATCTAGCTGACTTCAAGTCCCTGAAGTCTGCATGTGTTAATACATAGTTTTGCTTGGTGCACATTGTCCGCTAGCACTGCAGTCATAATAATCATTTGTTTATCAGAAAAAACGTGCCTGTTATAGCAGTGATTTAACTATTACTGCCAGATATCAATAATATGGTGATCATATCATGCATCTTTCACCTTAGGCATCATTTTTTATTTATGTCCTTGTTTCTTATTGTTTTAGACCTTTAGAAGTCTCAGATTATCACTTTGTCTATACCACATCCTACCACAGAAAATGCTTAGCCTTCGTGTTTACAATGTTTTAGAATGGAGGTAATACTGCTAGGCTTGACTTCCATTTAAATTACATTTCCCTGATCTCGATGCAAAGCCTATAGAATGAGAACTAGAAGTAAGCAGGTTTTAACTCTAAAGGGTAAACAAACTAAGATGAGGACTAGGAGTTTGTATCTGGGGTGTTTTGTGCCAGTGCAATGGTTTCACATGACAAGCCTACAATATTGTTAAACCACTGTGTTATTTCCAGCTTTGTGTTCTGGAATTTCTGTTTCTAGATTCAAGGGAGGGGTCTGTGTGAGGATAAATCAGTTTTAAGCCTCTGATATAAGCCAAAGGGGAGGGTTAAATGACATATAGATGCCTTGTTGTTTAAATGTAAAAAAAAAGTGTAGAAAAAATACAGAAATGCAGACTAAATTCGCAAATATAAACGTTCATTTGGTCAAATAAAGCTTCATTCTTTTTGTGTACAAAGGCAGAAAATAGTATAATCAGGTTCTGACTTGCTGCAGCCAAAAAGATTCATTTTCTTACCTCGTCTGGAAGAAGATAAATACTAAAGTGAATTTAAATAACAGCAATGCATGTTTTAAGAGGGGAGTTTTGAGCTTTTATATGTAAACACTTTAACCCTCAGAAGCATGATATTTAGCTAGCTGGTAAAGGTATCAATGTCTGTTTAAGCAGGGTTTTACAAAGTATGTCCCTTCTGTGCAAATCTTTTGTCTAAGGCCAGAGTTAGACAGATGCCATGGTGATTTAATATACTGACCCATGGGTGGTGAGGCCTAGAGAATTACCAGCCTGCCACATGCTAAGCAGAAATTCTACACATGAACTATTGCTGTGCAAAAACAGTCGTACAGAAACTGAATAGCAGTAAAAAAAAAAAAAAAAAACACAATCAGAGTCTGCTTTTAATTTTCGTTCAGGTCTCACCTGTGCAATCCTGCATTTGAGCTCAGCTTTCTCAAGCTCCCAGGCACATCGGTCTCTAGTGTACTGCAGCTGGAGCTCACTCCTCTTCTCCTCCTCTTTCTTCACCTCGGCCTGCACCTCCTCCAAAACCGTCTTTAGGTCCAGCAGAATCCTCCTGTTCTCCCCACCCTGCATTCACAGACGGTGGCCCATTTAGTTAAATATACCAAGCAAGCAGTTTGCTTAAGAAATGCATTGATTGAAACACATTCTTTTTCAAAGTTCTGAATTTACAGCTCTATAGAACATGGAAGTCATTACAGAAAGTAATGCTGCTTGCATAATTAGAGCCATGAGTAAACCCTAACATTCATGTAATCTATTTATAGGTTATAGCAGCAACCTATGTAACATTTAAAGGTTTTATAGAATCAAACAGTCTCAACCTACTCCAGGTTAGAAGTTTCTTATGCTTCATATTCTCCAGCTAAGGTGAACCCAACACTAAAACAGTATTAAAAGTGTGTACTTTGGAGACTTCACAATTAGAATAAAGGTTTTTGCAACAATACATAGACATATTTTTAATTCATTCAATAAATGATCAAGTTCTGGTTTGGTCTGCCTTAGCACGTCAGTTTTTTAACTACACATAATACATGATTTAAGATAAAAACCATGAAATAGCTTTTACATTTTGTACATAATAAATTGCTTTCTGACTCTGCTGCTCTTTGTGGTTTGTTGACTGATACTGCATGTGAACATTTACAAAACTGGGGATGTGCATGAATGTCTATAACCAATATGACCCTGCTGGAGCAGTTTCTGCAGCAAGGCCAGAAACAGAAACATCATTACCCAAACAGCAAACAGTGACATAAGGCTGATTTATACTTCGAAACTCTGCATAGGTGTCGCAGTGAACGAAAAGAAGTCCCCACCCCCTCCGCAGACACTCTGCTGTACCTCTCCCAAATTGTAGCTGACCGCAGACAGTGCCACAGACAGGAGGTCGGCTTGTTTGTTTTTTTTTATGACCGCAATTGCGGAAAACGACTCTTGAAGTTTTACAAGCTAGAAGAGCAAGGTGTACGAGAACGCTGGGACCCTTTTTCCACCTGGATACCCGCTCTTTTTCGCCCTCATGTCTCTCCGTTGTCGCACAAACTCGCCCCCACTTCCTCTCCACCTCAGCCGTATCTAGACCCACAGCGAATTGAGCATAAATCAAAAATGCCTGCGTCAAGCTCACTGTGACACACTGCTGTGGGGAGTATAACCAGCCCTATAGTGTCCAGGTTACAACTGTGCAGCACACACCATTAATGTTTTCTTTTCTATGACGCCCCCAATAGAAAGGTGCTCTGGGTGTAGAGCCATACCATACATGATTTCAGTCAATGATAAATAAAAAGTTGATAATAATATTAAAATATACTTTAAAATAGTCAAAAATGGTTAATATAAAAACTAAAAGGTAAAGACAGATATCTGATAAATTACTTGGATGTCAGCCACTTGTCTCAATAACAACTCCTTCTCACGCATCCAATCTTCTTTGTCCTGAACGTGTCTTTTCTTCAGATCCTCTAGTTTCTTTTTTAGCCGTGTGTTCTGTATTTGCTGCTGCTGCTGGGGTTCGGACCCCGGCCACATTTGTCCCCTGAGGACCTCAAGCTGCTGGGCCCCTGCCCCTCCCTCTCCCCCGGCCTGTGAAGCTCCGATCGGGGGCTCCAGGGCCTGGCTGAAGACGGTGGGCGGAGAAGAGATCCTCCTCAGCGGGCTGCGGTTTTTGCCCCTGCCTCTGTCAGTTCTCTCAATCCTGGAGCGAGGAACAAACTCCCATCCCTGGGATTGAACACATCCCCCGCTCTGCAGCCCGGCGCCGTTCATAAAGGCGCTCCACATCTCCTAAATGCATGCACATAAACCGACCAAAAACTTAATAGAAAGTCATCAAACGATGTTGGAAGGAGCCAAAAAAAAGTTCAGCAGTTGTTATCCGAACCCAGCCAAATCTCGCCTCGGGCACAGTGCTTCCCCCCTGGGAGCAGCAGCCACCGCTGCACTGGATGCTTCAGCCTGCTCCATATCTCTAAAGATCAGCTCAAGGTTTCATTCTGGCTCCAGATTCCCCCGCTTCAGACCCATCAACTTTTCCACCTGCGCTGTTTTTTCTGTCCTCTCTGTGTCCAAAGAAACTCCCGCAACGAACCGTCCGCTTGAAGAGACACTGCGAGGCAGAAGCTCCCAAAAATACTCCAGACTGCTTCTGATGTAAGAGCAGTGAAGAGTATTTTTACCCCTCTGTAACCAGGAGTTTTTTTCCTCCTCTGCCTGAAGCTGAACGACGCCTAGAGGCGACAGAAGAAGAAGAAGAGCCGTTAATCAACCTCCGAGTCTTTTAATTACGTCGCCACCTTGCGCTGTAGCCATAGCAACGACTCAATTTGGGCACCGTGCGCCACCAGTACTCTTTAAATATGAGAAACTACTCATCTTAAGCGCCAAAGAGGGGGGGAAATGACAGCTAACTTTTGCACAGCTGCTTGTCTCTGCTTGGCTGTAAACAAAGTTTGTCCTGTTAGCTGAAGTATGAGAGGAGGCTGACTATCACGAGGAGAGCAGCGAGGGCTGGGCGCTTATTAATCTACACAGCAGATAGCATTATATCACACATCTGAGCGTGAAAACCACCCATTCTTTTGTTTATAACCCTCACTATAAGCTAGTCGTAAACTAGTAGGTAATATGTATCAGCTAGCTGCCTTTAAAGTTAGCGGTTTGCAGACTTCACTTGTCCCAGGCGCGTGCTGAGCAGCCTTACCGTGTCGGTTAAAGGTTCTAGGATGTAGAAATGGTTCTCCTTTAGGAAAAAATAAAAATAAGTCCGATAGCAGAGACCATTAGACGTGGTTCGGACTGCACCGTTTAGAACAACTGCAGAAAACCAGCCTTCAGTTTAAAAAAAAAAAAAAGAAATGATGCTTTCATTAACTGGGATAAAATTCCCCTTCCTCCCCTCCTACTCCTGTCTCTCCTCCTCTTCCTCCCACAGCTGGCCTGAAGACAACGTGTGACGTGAAACATCCCACCGGTGGGATAAAAGAAGCGGTCCGAGTCCACCTCCCATCCTGGTGGCCTCACTAGTCCACACATCTGCACATTTTTCTGCTGGTTTGTGCAGACCCCACCCCTGGCTATTTTTAAAGAATCTACATCGAAGCAAAAAAAAAAAAATAAAAAAAAAAAGAAGCCCCAATCCAAATAGGTAAAATGCCAGCTCCTCTGACTAAGCACAAAGCACTGAAAAGGTCTGCACTTCACTTTAACTCTTATAAAGGGTGGGGGAAAAGGTTTTTTGCACTCAAAAAGAATTGAAAGGTCTGTAATAATTATTGTAGGTACACTCTATCCCCCCCCAAACAATCCGGAAAATCACATCATATGATGATTTCACAATTAATCAGCTTTTTATTGCATTAAATAAGTATTTTATATCAGCAAGATTCCCTATCCTCCACTCATACCAGTATTCATTTAAATTCAGTTTATTTCTATAGCACCAATTCACAACACATGTCATCTCTAGGTACTTTACAGTTCACCAGTTCATACAGTCCAATTGATTCAAAGTTTTCTATTAAAGGAAAACCAGTTGATGGCATCAACTCATTAACTCAAATGCAATCTCTCATTAGATTTACATGTTTGAACTTGTAAAAAAGACACCCGTCCACACCCTTAGTCAATCAGACTCCATGAGCAAAGCAGTGTTTAAGAATAGCAGGTATAACTGCAGGCATGATTATTAGAAAAAGGAAGAAACTCCATGCAGGATGTCCCCTCTTCGAGTATAAATCATCATGGTAATGGTGAGGGATCAGCCCAGAACTACAAGGGTTAACCCACAGGAGATTTCAGACCACAGTCTCAGAGGTTACCAATGGTTATTCACTACAGCATCATGGATTAAAATCTCTCTGCTCAAGTCGGTACAGACCTAGAGAAGGCACAGGTCATGCGGTTAAATGAGATCAGCATTGAACTTTTTACGAATTATATTTACCTTTAGGATCAATAGAGAGATTTAATTATATTTAGTTGTTATGAACTTCACTCACAGGTTTCTGGAAGAAGAAGAAAACGCAAGAACACAAGCTAACTGTGAAGGTGTTTTTTTTTAAAGGGTACCAGATGACTGCACTGTATTAAACAGAGGATAGATGAAACCATGTTTAACAAGATTTAATGCTTTAACAGGCAAGTTACCTTTTTGGATCAGTTGCATACCCCTTACAATGGAGTCTCCTCCGTCCCTCAGTGAGGTCTAAAAGCACTAGATCTATATCCAGCCATTCAGCAAAGATACTGCTACATGGCTGCACATCTTATTTTGGCATTTGACCAATTAGATGAGCCCTTGAATGATATATTACCTACTGTAAATTAAGTTGAAAAAAAAAGTCAACAAGTCAAGGAAAAAAGGTAAAAAGCTAATTGAAACATTAAAAAGTAAAGTTAAAAAAATTAATAAGCCTAGTTAACAATTATATTTAGGTTTATAAACTAAAAAATGTAAGTGCCAGTGTCAGCATTAATGCCTCTAAGGTTATTTTGGACCAAAAAAATGTGTTTCTTTCACTCTCAGAGTGTTTTTCATAAATTTCTTATAGAAGCACTTTTGTTATTTTTCTTAATATATTCAGGCAAGTTAGTGTTTCTTGTTATTACATTGACATTAATTTTTGCCATCAAAATATCCATATTTATTGAACGTTACAAAGGTAATAAGGTATTGTCCTGGATTCCAATAATACTATTGGTTTGAAATTTGGATTTTCAACATATTTCACTGAATGCTCTATAAAGGGTTAACCCTCCTTCCCTGAAATGGGATTATTGAAGATGGGCCATGGCTCAGTCTTCCATCAAAATAGATCCAAAACACGGTCAGGGAAATTAAGGAGGCAGCTCCGTAAGAAGTATTTCAAGGTCTTGGAGTGGCCTATCCCGTCTCCATAACAAAACCCACTAGAAAATCTGAAAATTGTATTTCCAAATGACAGCTCAAAATCTGAAACATCTGGACAAGATCAGACTTGGCCTAAAGCCCAACAGCAGTATTTGATAACCTCTTCAAGACCTACAGGAAACGTCTCTTCATCTCTTCATTTGCTATGCATCAATTTGACCTCTGAAACTGTAAACAACCCATTCCCTACCAACTATTAAGTTCTGTTGGTTTTTGTCTCAAGTACTTAATTCATAAAATAAGATGAAAATTATATTTGCATGATGTGATTTTTTTTTGGACTTCTGTTTTTTTTTTTTTTACAGTCTATCTGACCTATCTGATCTGAACTTATGATGAATATTACCGACTTCTCCGTTTTCTGTAACTAGGAAACATGCAACAAGGGCAGTTTATCAAATCCCAACTTCACAAACTAGATAAAGAGAAAGGAGGAGCACACTTCAGGCATATAAAAGATGTATCACAATTGATATCAAGACATATACAGTAATGTTGAGTAAAAAAATTATATTATTAAAAATGCATATAGCAATAATAGCATTGATAGCAATAAAAAAGAGAATATTAAAGTAATATGAACATCCTGAAGATATAATACATAGAAGAAAACTTTAATAAAATGGAGCATAATAGAATAGAATTAAGGAAGAACATGAATCCTGAACAAAAGGCCATTAAATCACATGGTCTTTGTTTTATTTAAGTGGCCACATGATTCCTTGTATTATGTCACCGGCTCAGTGACTCAGCACAGAGATATTTTCAGGAAACACACTGTGACTTGCTAAACTCTGTAGATGGTCTGAACCATTTTCACATTTTAATATATTACTACCATGTATTTTAATGTATTTTGTTTGTATTTTATATGATAAAACGATATAAAGTTGCATATACGTAAATAGGAATTCTAAAGAGATTTAAAAAATGTTTTTATATGTAAGTGTGACTTGCATTTATATTCAGCCTTCTGTATTCTGGTTTTCTTAAAACTGAAAGCATATTTAGGTCCATCTGTGTGAATAAAGCTGTTTTATGAAGACATCTGCAGCGTAGCAAGCAAGAAGAAAGTAATTTCTTTTCCAAGACAGCCAAATGACATCGTTTAATCATCATCACAAGATGTGTACAAAATATGCTTGTACACAGCAAACATATGGAACAGTGTGTCTAATAGATTATACTTAAATTAAATAAATGCTGCTCACCTTCATGAACTTGTGGGGTGGCAGTGTCATGCTGTGGGGAAACTTTTTTCGAGGTAAGGATAGAGAACACAGTCACAGAAGATAAAGCTAAAAACTGAGCAGTTATGGAAGAAAATGACTATTGAAAAGTATAGTGGAGGATTTTCGTGAATTTTTTAAAAGACCCAACCTCTCCACTTTAAAAAAAAATGCACATACACAAAGCTGTACCCGCTCCCGAGAGGAAACACCTATTAAACGTGTGCAAGAGCGTGCACAAGCCCATTTCTCCTTGTGCACGCTCTGTTCAAAAGTTGCTGTTCTCACGGCTCATACAAGCTTACTGTCCCTGAACATCCACCCTAACCCCTAAATCCCTCAATCATTATATAGAGTAGGGACTATACTGTATAGTGGACTTTATAGAACTTAACTGACCATTCGGACAGATGATTACTGCTTTTTACTCCCCGTTAGTCACGTAACATCTTTGTTATCAGTCGCCACTGTCAGGTAGCAACAGCCTATGGCAACGGCGGGCCGCTGTGACAGCATGATGATGCTTTGCAAGGAGAGCTCTCCACACAAAGCATTCTGGGATATATCTGCTTCTTCTGAGGCCTTTCTTTTCTTCTCATACACTTTGTAGACACTTTTTCTCTTACAAACCTCGGCCATTTTCAAAGAAAGTGAGATAGGTGAGCTTCAATGACTGTCTGAAACCATAGCTCACCACACATATACGCCAGAAAAAGCGCATCCACAGAAAAAGATAGCTAACTGAAAGAGCACATAGGACGGCCTTACATAAACATATCACCAGAATTATTGACAATTAGAAGGATCACTTATTTTGACGATCCACCTGGAAATATAAGATCTTTCTCTATACGTTAAAAAAAACAAGATTTTTGTCAGACATGCAAAGGTTTGCCACACTTGTACAATGTATGTGAAAAGGAAATTTAAAACTTTGTTTCTCATAATCCCAACACGGTACTTCAGACCTTGTGGTTGTACCATTGCAGAGGTTGACAAGTTCCAAGAGTGTGATAACTTCCTTCTCAAGGCATTGCATTTAGGGTAATCATATCAGGGCGTAAAACTACTGAAAAAAGTTAACTAAGTTACGTTTACGAACTCCAAAGTTACATATGATAGCAATAAATTGATTAGCAGAAACTGAAAAGGGGGAAAAAAGTGTCCAAACTTTGCAAAAATAAAATATAAACACCGGGCCGACAAATTGTGTGGTCTGTCTGTGTGTTTGTGTTTTAAACCTACTGTGTTTAAAGAGCTGAAAGACGATGACTTACACATTATGTGACCAGCTCAGTGACTCAGACTTTCAGGAAATACAGGCCTCATACATGCAGACACCTACGACAGCTGTTACTGTTATTGTGGGCATGGCCTTCAGTTACTGTTTGCGTTTTCTCTGCATAAACCTC